TGAAGTATTTAAAAAGTATTAAAAGAAGCAGATATAAAAAATGCACTACTGGGTAAAGGTTCATAGAAAAGATAGAAGAAAAAATAATAAAAAGTCCATTTCTGTAAGAGCAGGATACAGTTTCCTGGGAAACTATATGTGGTCTTAACTTTACACAATTTGAAGAGTGTTGCTAGCTTCTGGGATTATATCACAAAACTACCAAAATCTGTTATTTTTCTTTAAGCAAGGGCTGCTCGAATGAATTAGTTGCATCAGAATCACAACTTTCAGATTTTTAAAGAATGTTTCTGGCGATCATAGTTGTTGAGAAAAGTTTAAAAATGCTAACCAAGCGCAGCCCAAAGATTCAACAAATCAGAAAGTAACTAAGAATCCTGAAAAAAAAATCTCATTATTTTTTGTGTGGCCTAATTCTAGATTTTAAAATCACTGATGTAGGGACTGGGTGAGTGGAGTTGCTGATGTTAGTGGGGACTACACACAGTACATACAGTTAGTGAAAACATAGATGTGTTTCGGCAGGATCTGACCCTCCGATGATCCCAACTGACATGTGACAAGGATACTCTATACAGCGAATGCATCTTGTATTTCTCAAAACCCTTACAAACAAATCCATTAAAAAGGGGATTTGGGAAAAAATGGGATTTAAAGTCCCTGTGTGTAAGAGGTTCCACCCAGGTGAATCTGGACCTTACTTTTTAGGACTTACATTAATGGAAAGGCATAGTTAGCTGTATTAATTTAAAATCATGCAGAAGAGGATATATTTGCACCTTATAGAATAGTGATATTCAGCTGTGAGGCCTTGAGATTCTTTCAAGGGATTCTTTCATGTAATGTTTGTACTGTAAACACATTTCACAGGATCAACTCAGAGATTTCAAATAGGAGTCTGTAGTCGTGGGCGGATGTAGGATTTTGAAAATGGGCGTCACAACTTAAACATTAAGGGAAAAAGAAACTACAAGCTTTACTAATATGCTAGGGGCCTAAGGCTGTGTTATTCAGTTTTAAATTGATGCAAAAAATATAACTTTATTGGAATGAGGAAGAACAGTCTGCAGGGCTGTAAACTAGGAACTACATTACCAGAAGCAGCTAACAGAGAGCGGAACTACAGAACAAAGGCAAGCTTCATTAATGGCCATTCAAAAAGAGAAAGGGTCATTAACACCTGTGGAATGAAGAGCTTAGAAGGAATCGGGTAGATTTTTATGAGCCAGGTCTCTTTTCTAATGGGCTTGATGTTCCACTAATTGAGCTCTATTTTCTCCTCAATTATGTTAGCAGCTCCTGGTAATTTAATTCGCATTTCACAACCTTTCAGGCTGTTTTTAAACCCTTGGTAAAAGTCTGAACTCAGGTGCAGAAATGACTTTCAGTAAAGCACTGGGCACACTGTCAGGATGTTCATGGCTAGATTTTGCTTTATGAATCTGAGAAAAAAGTTGTACCTTTAATTCTAATGACTACAGAATGACTAATGTTAATTCTAATGACTGCAGAACTAACGAACCAACAGCTTTTCATTACTTTTTGCCTAGTTCACTGAGGACCGCTGTTATAGATAGATTTGTACATAAAATAGGATATAGCAAATTAATGCATATTCCAATGAAGCGATATTTGTTTTTGCTTCAGTGTTAAAATGAATCATACAGCCTTAGGCCCCTGGTGCAGTAATAAAGCTTCTAGTTTCCTTTGAACTGGAGGTAAATACACATTGTGTGCTATGGGGTGATGCACCTCACCTCTGCGCCCCCCTTTCCAAAATCCTAGACCTGCCCATGATCTACCCTGCCTGGATGAGACTGAAGTTAGGTTCTTACTCCCAGTTCCTTAGCGACCCAAAAAGGATTTTGAAGGATGAGGCTGACTACGTCTCTCCAGCAATACAAGTCCTGCCTTACATTTCATGCGAGGTAAGGTTGAAGTTGAGTCCTTATTCCCAGTTCCCCGAAAAAGATTTTGCCCCAGCATCCCAGCTCTGTATTCAGGGCTATCTATGTACCTGACACAGGATTGGATTTGAGTAACACACACACATTTCCGATGCAATTTTAAGGCGCTAGCCTGAGCAGTTCATCACCAGCCACCTTTAAGGGTTTGGACAAAGGAACCAGGGACGGGGAATGAGCAACTAGGACTAAAGAAGTGAGAGCAAGGACCCAACTCCAGGCTCGTGGATGAGCACAGCCACCTCTTGGGCCCCCTCCCCGGGCAGGGGCCGCTCTGCCAGGGCTGCCTCCGCCCGGCTGCAGCGCCCTTCTCCTAGTGCGGGCTGGCGGGCGCGGCAGGGGCAGGTGAGCGGGGCGGGCTCCTTCCCCCCGGCACCAGCCGGACGGGTTGTGGGGCTGGAGGCAGCAGCCGCGCCCGGCAGGAAGTGTCCCGGCAGCAGGAAGCACCGAGCCGGCTGCAGCAGGTAGGGCAGGGGCTGCGTCTCCCCGGGAGGAGGCTCCTGGGCGCCGAGCCCCGCTCCCTTTGCCAGGCAGGGAAGGGGGGAGCAGGAGGTCCTTCCCCTCCGCTGCTCCTTGCTCCTAGCCTGGAGGCTGAGCCGAGCCCCCCGTCTCCTGGGCATTGCCGAGGGCTGATCCTGCTCGGGCAGGGGCTGGGCTGGGGACCTCTGCAGGTCTCGCTTCTCCCAGCCACGCTGCTTTCCTGTTCCCGCTCCCTGGCTTTCCTGTCCCTGGTCTCTTCCTGGCTCCGGACAGAGTTTGGCTGGGCACCAGGGTGTGAATTAAGGGGGAGCTGACTGCCCCCCCCCCCCAAAAGATGAGAGCCCCCTATAAGATTTGAAAAGCATAACCCGGGGGGGGGGGTGTCTGATCGGCTTGCTCCGTCACTTAGTAGGTGGACTTGTCAATCAATGAACTGGTTTAGGTTTTTTTGCAGATCCCCCCCCCACACACACACACTCTTTCTCTCTCTCTCTCTCTCAAAGTGTAATCTGCGCCCTGCTGGCTCCTTGCCCTCGTTTCCTAGATGTTAGGGGCTGGGAGGGGCCTTACAGATCATCGGGCCCAGGCCCCCTACACTTGATTTGGGGTCCAGTGAGCACTAGCTGGTAGTGCCCTGCTTGGTGTGAACTGGTTATGATCCTATGGCCTTCACTCACACCCCCGTTTTGTCTTTTTGTTGTCCCAAGCAATCAGTGATGTGCCCTTATTGCCCCTCTCCCCATTGGGGGGGCTCTTAGCTTTATTTGGTGGGCTTCAGTCTATGTTCTGGCCAAGCACGGAGAAAGGCCAGCCCAACTTCGCTCTGCTCTCAGTGCCTGAGTACTAGGGAGACACGGTTCTTTGGGTAAATGCAGTATCTTTTATTAGACCAACTGATTAGTTGGAAACATTGTTCTTTGCAAGCTTTTGGGTACATCCACCCTTCTTCAGGCAGAGGGAGAGTCCCTGAGTACTAGGGAAGCACTGGGAGTCTCCTCTGAAGCCAGTGGTCTGCTTAGTACTACATTGTTTTGCTTTTTTCCCTTCCTTATTTGTTGTTAACTTTCCTGTGTGGCTGCAGTGTTTCTAAGCCTCAAAAGATCTGTAGGTCGGAAAGAGGAAGTGTCTTGAGACATAAGCTGTCACGTCTCTGGGGATGAAGGCGTGGGGAGGGTCTTGCAAGAAGCCTGCATTTCTCTTTAAAAGGGATAGCAGTAGTTGTGCCAATCTTCTTGTGAAAGGCATGCTGCCTCTGACCTGCAGTACTAAGGCGGTGGTGGAAAACAGCTACAGCTTTGTGCTGTCGGTGGAGTAGCTCCACAGTTAAATTAGAGCTGCCATAAACACTTACACTTTCCAGAATGCAGGTCTGTGAACCAGGAAGTTGCGCCTGTATCCATACCACCCTGCTGCTGTCAACACGATCTTGCAGCCTTTAGTAGCAGTTCAGACAGAGTTTGAATGACAGTCCTTTGATTCAGTCCCTTGGCATGTGGGGAGGACAGGCAGCTGTCTTTCAATCAACTTGTGTTGACAGTGGGTACCATCACGCAGTTATTTCAGGCCATGTTGCACTGTGTATTTCCAAACAGGATTTTGTTTTCCTTCTTAAATTGTTATTAGGTTAAAAGGACGCATGAGGACTACTGACACCTAAGAATTTTTTTATAAGCCTATGAAAATAGTGGTGTAGGGCTAGGATGTGGACTTAGTACTTGCACAGGAGAGCAGAGCCTCTCTTCACACCTCTACATGATGTAATAAGATTGTGGATCCCAGCATGCAGAAGTGGCTGCTGCTTGCTAGCTGTCCCAGAGAAGATGAGCACAAAGACGGAGCAATGGGCAAAGCCTTCACTCCGTAATCCCAATCCACTAGGCAAGTGGAGCCAGTTCTAAGGATTGTTGTAACTGGCTGCTGGTACTAAAGCCAGGGGAAACAAGGGGATTGTGTCTTTGGGTGGTGTCTGTCAGATCCAGTACTTCCTGGGGTGGTACAGTTCATATGTCTCTTGCTCACTGCTGTGCTTAAAGGTATAATTGAATCCTAAGAATGGAAGTGCCAATTCAAAGCTAACTATAGCATATCATCCGGGACATTGTAGTGAAACAAGGAGATGGGAAAGGTATCATTTATCTACCAGGCTTAGGATTTTACTTTCCTACACTTCAGTTGCTGCTTTTAAGTTTTAAAAATATCTTCTTGTTTTTACCGGGTGCATCTACACGTGGGCTTTAAATGCACAGTAGCCTATTTTACTGCACATTAAATTGTCTGTCAAAAAAAGTGCTAATATGCTAATATACAGTAAATAAGCGACTGCGCGGTAAGTGTCACTAAAAAAGTGTGTGCTTTTTCTACTGTGCAGTAGGGCAGCCCAATGTGCATCTATTTAGTACCTCATATCAGAGGTACTGAATTTAATGCGCAGCAGCAAAAGTGCATGAATGCATGTCTAGATGCACCCACTGAAAACAAAAGGATAGAAGATGCATTTAAATATTTTTCCTGAGTTTAGCATGTGTGCATGCTCCAATAAAATAATCTTTTCTGCAAGTTACCTATTACCCTGGTTCTTAACTTTGTATCATACCAGTATCCCTTCCAAAAGATAACTTGCTTCTATGACAAAATAAGATGGTGCTGTTAATGTTTTTAGAGCTGTGTGGTTGTTACTCTTGGCATGGCAGTCAGACTTCCTCTTTTTTTCTTTCTCTCTTTATTACATTTTGTGAGTCTGTATTTAAACAAGATAACAGGCCTCCAGTAAACTTATGGGTTAACAGAGATGATGGGAAATGCCCATCTTTTACTGTGAATGTAGGGTGAAATTCACAGCGTCTGCATAAAGTGCTCCAAACTTGTGCTTTATGTGAGCAGTTCATGGGGAAAAAAATGGACTTATCCCATGCTGTGCACTGCAGATCTCTCCATGCAGCTGTTATTCCAGCTGTCTGTTCCAGGTTTGTCAGGTAGTAGGTCCACTGCAATCTCATAAACCTGGTTTTCCAGCTCACTTCTGTTGTGGCCATCATAGCAGTCTAAGTGGGATTACTTTGAAAAAGTGTTGTAGGTGTGCAGATGTCCCAGGCCAGGCGGCTGCTCCAGTAGTAGAACCCTCTGTGTGGAGTGTGAATGGCTGTGGAGGATGTCAGGCTAGCTCTCTGGACTAAGCAAGGAAGAGAGGAATAATGTTCACGGAGAGTCATCAAGCTGAACAAGGGACATTGGGGGTGGGGGAGCCAAGGGATCCATGCGTAGCAACAACAAAAGTATAGGGGGGTGTTGAGGAACAGACCAGCAAACTCTTGGTGAGAGATTTAATTCTTCCAGGACAAATTGGATTTCTCCTTCCCAGAGGTTAAAAAAGAATCAAAAGTCTCCTGAAAGAGTAGTGTTAGAGTAGTGCTGTAGCCATGATGGTCCAGGAATTATGTGAGAGCCAAAGATTTATTTTTTAGTTGACCAGTTGCATAGTTGGAATAAAGATAGACAAGCTTTCAAATGCAGGACATTTTTCTTCAAGATATTGCTCCCAAAAAATTCTTGCCTGAGAGAGGAGATCAGTCTTGATACAACAGATATTGTGTTCAGTAGTGTCTACTGCTGGCAGATTGCAAGCACAGTTCTTGGGTTCTTTGTACTAAAACAGGAGAATAAAGACTAAAGAAAAAGGCTTTCAAAGCCATGCCACCATGTGATGCTTCCTAAGAATCCCATGCTAAGACAAGCTCTTTTTCTTAGCAACAGTAAGCTTTATTTTTTTTAATTCAGACTTTTCTTTAGTTCACTTTTTTTGCTCATCTGAAGGGAGATAGAAATTAATCATATATCATGTCCACATTTAAGTCAAAGCTTGAAAGCAAAGCTGCAGTCCCAACTAGCTTTAAGCTTGGTACCAGCAGCAGTGTAGCCATAGCTGCACAGAGCTCAGCATGGGCTAGCCACACACATTTTTATGCAGGGTCCCTGGTGAGTTTGGCAGCCTGCACTGAATTTGGGTGTTACTGTTAGCACCTGAGCTATGTTGTTTAAAGCACTGTTGGGTATGCCTCCACAAACTACAGCCACACCTTTCATTACAGTACACTTCCCCTTAGGATTACTGTTCATCAGCCGGCTTGAGCCTGCTACCAAACAGTAGCACAGGTAGCGCACCACATGCTACCTGTAAGAAAGAATGTTGTGTGTCTTTCCTCATTAGGAAAAGGTTTGAGACAACTGTATTGGACCAGATCTTGGTACACCCTCCAGTACATTAGATGTTGGACTGCTTTTGATGTGCTAAATGACATTTTTGTCATTTGCAGCAGGTATCACCAAACTAAATCCCTTGAGCCAAAACCACCTACTAAAAGGTAGGATCCAGCCTGCAGAGGTCTGACCAAGCCTGGGGGAGTACAGAGGACTGTGTGGTGCGCAGTGGCTGGTCACCTCTACAGTGTCCTCCTCCACAGCCCTCCCTGCTGCTCTCTGTATCTGCACTAACTCTCTCTGCAGAGGGCCAGGTACTACAGTGGTGTGAGTGCAGGCAGCTTGAACTCTGGCAGGGTAGGGGAGATCTGCAGCCTGCAGCAGAGAGCTGGGTCATGAGCCTCAGGCCAGGGTTACAAAATGTCACCAGCCCCTGATCTGAAAAAATGCCCACTGGCAATTTTTCAGAACCGAAAGCAAAACCCATTGAAGTGAAAAGATAAAGGACTGTAGCGTACTGTTTTTCTTCTCACCCCTCTGCTTTTTACTGTCCTGACTTAAAGCACAATTTAGCCATGGCACGATCAATTTAGAAGTGTCCAGCCTTTCAGAGCTTAATGTTGGATTGATGTAAAACATTCATTCAGATTTTTGACATCTAGAAAACTAGTTACAATAGTTAGCCGTGTTACTGAAAGGTGGAACCTGTGAGGCTGTGATGCTTAAAGTACTAACTTTTCAATATCTCTCCTTCTTGTCTTCAAAATGAACTCCTAGTGTGAAGAATTGGCTCATAAGTGACTGAATGCAGAAAAAAGGAAACCCAAGAGGAAATCTGCTCCGTAACACCCCTTGAGAATCTTTCAACAACTTGCAACATCAGGCAGCTTTTTTCCAAGCATTATCATTTTGTCACCTAAAACCTGATATTAGCAGTGAAGTAGATGGCTCAGCTTCCCCCTGGAATTCATTTTATCACTTTATTCACAAGAGATCAGCGGTAAGTTTTTAGTACATCTAAAAAACCTTTAATTTTGGAGAATGCCAGTTCTTACCTGAGAATTATTGTTCCCTTGCCTCATTCTCTTTTGAACTTCTCAACGCTTAAGATATAAAGTGAGAAAATATTGAATAAAGTGAAAAAATATTGATTTAATTTTCTAATGAAGAACATTGCCAAGAGTTTAAACTTCAGGATGTTTAATATAAATACCAGGTGACAGAAATGTACTCAAGGCCCTTTATCTGTCATTAATTTTCAGGAGCTAGCAAATGAGTGCCTCTGTTACTCTGCTTCAGACATTTTCTTTTGAAGAATCAGCTTTTTATTTTTGAGCTGGTTGGTTCAGGTCAGCAAAACAGATTAATTTGCTTATACTACTGTGAGGAGGAACTGCTTGTTCCTCCTGTGTGAATCCACTGTTCTGTATGTAAAAGTGACAAGGTGCAACAGCTGTACTTGGCTGATTGCTTTTGAAAGCTTTTAATGTTTCATTCTTTTTTGGGTAGCATCAGTTCTTGTGTAATTTCTAAAGAGAGAAAAGAAACATGTCAAGGTTAATGAGCAGCTCTAGGAACTTATCTTCCTGACTCCAACAGATGACCAGCTGAAACCCTGAAAGAAGAGATTTGGTTATGTAATGTGGACCTGAATGTTTTGATTATATTAAAGGCCTAAAATAAAAGGGATGAACAGGGAAAGTTATCCATAGATTCCATATGCAGAAAAGAGAGGACCACCATAATTATCCAGCCAGATCAGACCTCTGACCCACACACAGTCCAGAGGACAGAAGCTGGAGCAAAACACATCTTGTAAAAGGATTCCCAATTTGCCTTAAGGACTTTAGGCAATGGCAAATCCATCGCCTCCTTTGTAAGCTGTTCCAGTGTTTAGCCACCCTCATTGATAGGTGCCTTATTTCAAGATTGAATGTTTTTCTTGCTGAAGCCTGGGTCAATAAGGTAAAAAAGTCTCCCTGACAGTACTCAGGGGAGAGACCTCTAAGGAAATCCAGCGACTTGCTCATGCTATGGTATGTTAGTACTCTAGTGTAAATGTATATAGTTTAATGCTTGGTAGTACTTGGCTGATACCTTAGAAGTGCCAGCGTCTTCTGTCTTTCTAGAGGTGCTTCCTATTAGATAGTACTCAAAATTGACTTTCTTTGGTCAGAAAAGTTACGTCTCCACGGCATCCCCAGCATGCCTCAGGAGGCAGACCCCAAGTACCCACACACCTGATTTTGCTTGCATGCTCCAAACTTGGAAATGCTATAGCAGAGTCACTGTTGGGGCATCCTTAGTGGCTTATCTTGAGCACATAGGGGATGGCTTTTAAAGGCTGGCTGTAGAGGAATGCTCCTAGAGCTGTTTCTCCACCACATTTCTAGTGGTGGTGTCTGAGCAGGGTGCAGGTCAGCAGGTCATGTCTGGAGTTGTCCCTCTGAGGAGATACCAGTCATGGTTTAAGCCAGAGCTAGCCAACCTGTGGCATACTTTTCAGAAGTGGCATTGGCAGACTGGGGAGGGGACAGGCTGCCCATCAGAAAGCAGAGCAGCAGATTGGGTAAGGGAAGAAAATCGGAGTGGCCCTGCAGGAGAGGGCAGGGAGTAGGGGATTAATTTGTGGCACTCCTGTCAAAAAAGTTTCCCCCCTTGGTTTAAGCATACCTATGTATCCCACAGCACTTTCTACAGCAGGTTGTGTGTTAGTACAGTACTACATGGGTATTTAAAGTGTGCTGTGCTGACCTACATTTCAGCTGGGGGTTTAAATATAAAAATGCATTAGGTAAAAACAAATGCAATGGACTTTGATTCTTGAATTTCGTGCTTCTTGCTTGAACCATGCATATAGGCAACTGAATGTAATAAAGCATATTAAATGAAGATACATCACAAGGCATAACTGATGTTTATTGCTGTAGTGTATGAAGCCCTAGACATGGCCTGGAACTGAACTATGCCAGGGGCTATATAAATACAGAACAAAAAGGTGGATGGTCTTTGAACTCACCATGTCATTTTTAAAGATTGATAAGCACAGAAGGAAGAAGAGATGCCTCTTGCAGACCCATTGGATCTTTCAAACACCTTTTTTTTTCCACTTAGGAAAGCAGTAGATGTCAAACAAACCAGCAGTGTAAAAACAAGTGTTTTCAAACATGGTTTTTAATAGACCCCTCTCCCCTACATTTCCGGTGACATGCAATCTATTTAGCAACAACATCAGTTGCTTGCATGTAGCAGCAATAATATGAAAATGAGTGTGTGTGGAGGGGGGAGTGTATGTGTATTATATGCGCACACGCATACAAAGCAAAATAAGTTACACTGTGTGTGTGTGTGTGTGTGTGTGTGTGTATACACATACATATAGATATTAATTTTCCTATTGTTGCTATATATATATCAAATAAATAGTATGCTTCAGCAGCTGGGAACAAGAAGAAAACCTATGGTTCACAGATCATGGCCTGGAAATTTCTGGCGTAATTTCTTGTAGACCAGCAAGAATGAACAGTAGCTTTGATGCTGGGTTAGGTTAATGGGCAAACTATTGAGATTGCTCAGGTTTATACCTTAATATAGGTTGTTTAGACCCTTTTCAGCTTTAAGGGTTTGTGATAACATGAAGTCAAAAATACTTGAAAAACGCTTTGAAATGTTTTAATAAAAATAGTTATATAAATCTAAATAAAACAATTTAAGATCTTCAATCTTTCATTTATTCTCTTCGTCATAGGTACCGGGCCTTCATTTTTGTTCTGACCTTTTTGTTGTATGCCAGCTTCCATTTATCAAGGAAACCTATTAGTATAGTTAAGGTAAGTAAAAGTGAAACACTTCTTGGAATCAGAAAGACATTTGAACAAAGAAGTGCACTTTTATCTTTCATAACAGCAGTGTTAAAGTTTAACCCAGAGTGGTATAAAAATTCATGATGACAATTACATTTGGCTTACAGTAAACTTTTATTATCTTTCCTAAGAACGGATCTAGAATATTGCATGTACTTGTCACAAGCTCAAAATATAAAAGCAGCATTTCCGTATGTCGTCTTAACTTTCCACATGTGAGTTAAGCAAAGTAGTTGTGTAAATACTTGCAGGATTGGGGCTATAAATTTAGGAAAGTTAAGACTGATGAATCAGTTGCAACCATATGAATGATGCAAACTAATCCTCAGAAGGCTTTTTAGTCATTTGTGTTATGGTTGGCTTATTTATGATGAGTGAGTAATGCAGTGATGTCAGAGATGGCAACTGAGGTTTTCATGCCTTCAGACTTCCTGTTCAAGCTGCAAATGTTTTGCTAATAAAGTAACCCGAATTTATTTCTCATATCTGTCCTTCAGTTTATTGTTTAACACACTGTCATTCATATTAGTTCTTCCATACTGTTTAGAAGCACTGAACCTGTAAACAAAATAGTTGACTAGTTATATTTAATAGTTTTATTAACAGTATTGATTTAATTTCTAGTTAGACTGGCTGACCAAAGGGTTAAAGCTGAATTTGCATTGTTCATATGAGAACCGTTATGACATCTTAGCTTAGACTGTGGTTGGTTGGGGTTTGAATACAGCATGGTTTTGGAGTGTATTGTTTCCAAGGATGTAGTTTTCAGTCTACGCTGGTCCTGAAAATAGTGCTAGATTTAGCTGTTTCTAGCTTGCATTCAAGCAGTGTGTGAACATTTTCTCAGTCTAATTACGAAACAGAATTCCTTTCTGTCTGTATCTCTTGGGAAGTTTAATTTAGCTATGTGTAAAACTTGTATTTTCTATTGCTTTCAGATTTAGTAATATTTACTGATCTTTCCAAAAGTTAGAGGGTTGTTTTTTTTTTAATTTTACAATAAACTGTAATATCGTTTTATTGTACTCTTGCATCACCTTTTGATGTGATCTGTTAACCCATAGATCCCAATTATACAAACTGATCGGTGTGGGCAGGCCCTTCTTCCCATATGGAATTCTAGTAATACAAGCTCCTCATAGACTCAAAGGCCATGCCCAAACGAGTGCAGACATTTGATTCCCTGGCATACCTTGTTCTACTGCTACTTATCCCCAGAGAACACCTGTGCCACACACTCTCTGGCACATGGCAGGTTACCCTGGGTGGGGAAGGGGAGGCTGGGGCCAGCAACTTGTGCTGGCCCCAGCAGACTTACCTGTAGGCTGGAGAAACTGCAGCTGTGGTGCTCCTGCAGCTTGGAGCCTGGCCAGCAGCTGGAGCATGGCTTTGGAAGGCCAGGCTCCAGTTTTGAGTGGTGTGCACTGCAGCCATGTGTGCCATCCTGCTTTTATACATGGAGGTTTTTTTGACCCTGGGATCTCCCAGGAGGAATGTTTGAGAGAGAAACTGAAAGACAGCATGAAACACAAAGATTTTGGACTAACCAATTAGTGGGGATAAAGTTAGACACACTTTTAAATGCAAAGGTTTCATCAGGAGAGAAGCAAGCAAGTTTCTCAGCATTATCAGGGGGTATAAGAACAAATTGCTCTTATTTACTACAGTATCAATCCAGATTGGTGTTGCTGAACTAACAGAGCTATTAAAGATTTACACCAGTCTGTCTGAGTTCACAGACTTTACATACAAGTGTTTTTGGATAAATACACCCTTTCTTTTTATACTCTGTAAATATAATGTGTTTTCCTTGATTGAGGTGACCTACTCGTGTTTGACATGTGTAATATAACGTACCATTGAAATGTGTTCATTGATGACTTCGGCAGCTGTTGGGTGACCTGGGCTTCTTCCCACCATGATGTTTAGTGTGCTGTGCTATTGCAGATGCCACCTTCAAATGAGATGTTCAGTCTAAATCCTGACTGATCTCTGATCCCCAAAGCACTTGTGAGACTACAACTGCTGAATCTGATATGAGGCAAAATCTACTTGTCAATCTGCATTTCTCTTGCGGTTACAGTTGAATGTAATTTTTCTCCTGTGCCTGCCTTATACAAACAAATGTTATTACTCTGCCAGGCTTTAATATTGAGTGAAATGATACCTCTGCAATATACTGGCCCCAATCATGTGCAGAAATTTATGCACATGCTTAACAGTATGCTCTGTCAGAAATCCATTGACCTCAGTAGGAGGATTCGCAGCCCATAGTTAAACGTATACACAATTCCCTATAGGACTTTTGTTAGTGTAGGACCTAGTTCTGCTACCAGTTAAGCCAATGGCAAAATTTCCTTTGACTTCTAGTAATCCTGGGACTATGTTATCCCAATCTTATACCAATATAACATTGACTAATGAGGCCAAAATTTGACCCAAAATTTGTAAAGTATTTCGAGATCCCTCAGAACAAACAGCACTATAACAGAGTTTATTAGCCACATAGCCACTCTTGGGGGATCTGGTCCAAATACATTAGTGTTTGTTAATTTTATTGACTTCAGTGGGCTTTGATTCAAGCCCCTAAATAAGCCGACTTGTTAAATTTGCTACTGCAGGATTCAGTCATGGATGAGTTTTCAAATTCTCTTTCTGTGTTAGGGAGAACTACATAAGCACTGTGCTGCTTCAACTGAAGTTGAACTCCACTCCTACAAAGAATATGCTACCCAGAGTCAGCCTGCTAAAAAGTTACCTAACAAGTCTCAATGTGGTTGGGAGCCATTTGGTGAGCTCTTTCACATGTTCATTTTGTAACAGTGGTATTTATAGATGTGCTGGAACTTATTGTTTATCACGGGGATTCTTCACACGGAGACATGGGCAGAAGAGGCATGGGTTTTGTATTTAAATGTTGACTAATATGTTGTTGTGGATCTTCCAAATCAGGGCTGTCCAAATGCTGGGCATGCCACACCGGCTGCAGTGCCAGGAGCCCCAGAGCATGCAGGCCCAAGATGCATGGGCAGCCCAGCTCTCCCCTGCTCCAGCCATGTGCGTCATGCAGGGAGCTTGGTTCTCCCATCCTCTCCCATCCAGCCTCCCCAAAGTTCCCACTGCAGCACATGCAGGCCAGCTCCTTCCTACCATATGTATAGTAACCCCTCCCTTCCCAGTCACATGCCCACCTGAAGTGCTGGCAGCCTGGTTCCTGCCTCTCACATGCACAAAATGAGCAGCCTGGCTTCCACCCTTGCTGCGCACACAGCATAGGTACCCCAGCCCCTCCTGCTACACCTCCCCACCATCAGGAGCAAGAAGGTGGAAGAGAGCAAGGAAGCCCAAAGGGCCTGTCTGCCATAGCAGGACGAACAGTGTGGGGAGGGGGACAGGCAGTGGCTGCTGTGCCAGTTGGAGAGATCTGATCTAAATTTAAATTAAACTCTGTTAACTCCTGTTCAATAACTTCTTTCCATTGCAAATTGAAACAACCATCTCACCAGTGAGGACCCAACACGTTTGAAAGTGTGGGGATTTCTAAGGTGCCTAAATATTTTTAGGCTTTTGCATTTTCTTGCTTGCTTTCCTTCTTGTTTGCTTTCCTTCTTTCCTTCCTTCTTTCTAGACTCATGTGAATAAATTGTATTTTGCTAATATATTTGTCTTCCATTTCCAAATGTTGTTTTGAGACAAACTCCTACTGTTATTTTGTAATTAATAGATTAAAATACAAAATGAAAAGTTTTAAAAAAGAGATGTGTTCTTTTTTTCAGTTGGAATATTCACTTAAAACTAAAAAAGCATATTAGAAAAAGATACGTGTATGAAATATATAATGGGTTGAAAGCTCTCAATTCCAGATGAAATGGTTTGTGATTTGTTTTGCAAATGTGTTATTTAGATAAGAACAACTACAAGCAACTACTGGGAGCACTGGATTATTCATTTCTATGTGCTTATGCAATTGGAATGTATTTAAGGTAATTCTTTTATACCTTTTGAAAACTACTAATATAAATGGCTGAACTGCTTCACATGTATTGTCCTTCATCACTGGCAAGTTTCTAAGGACTGATCATTGAAAAGGAAAATTTGGATAGCCACATACATTGAAATCCTGGATCTTGTCACTTTGAAATTATATCTGTCTTGAAACCCATATTATGGTAGACTCTGTAGGTGTGTAAGAGATTCTTTCTTCTCCCTTGGGTAGGCATGTATTTAAAGTCTCAACCTAGCTAGGTTATCTACATCAGTGTGGCAGTAAAAACTTTTCAGCAAATGATTCTATAAATGAATCATTTCTATTATGACTACAGTGAAACTTCTTTGAAAAAAGGGGGTTGTTCTCATGTCAGCATCTGGCATTCAGCTAACTAAATATTGGCCGTTTAACTCCAGCGCATGATACAAATTGCTCAGTTTAATATTTCTGTTGACATTTGTCAATAAATCCTTGGTTAAAATGTTAAAGTTCTCTTTTTCTGGCTCTGGCTACATAGTACCCTTGCCTTGCCTGGGGGGCAGCACTTTCAAGCACATTACTGATGTGGACAGGTTGCTTCCCAAAGTGGAAGAAGTGCTACTGAGGCCCCCTTTACACATTACTGGTATGATGCAATTAATTGGTTAATTGCACAATTAACTGAGACCAACTACACATGCAAAGTACCTATTATGCCATAAAAAGGTCCAACCAGCTATAAAGTTAGACCTCAAAAATGTGTTCTAACTTTATAGCTGGTCGCTATCCAGATTTAATTTCCTTGTTTAACGGGGTCTGCCCCTGCAGCTGAGAGCTCTGTCAGTGGACTCTCCATCCCAGCGGTGGCCCCATGCACAGCTGGATCTGAGTCCCACACCTGATGGAACTCTTAGCCATGACTGTATCCCACTCGCAGCCGGGCAGTACCCCATCAGGCACAAGACACTCAGCCCTGACTGTGTGTGGGGTGCAGCCAGGGACATGTGTCTTATCAGCTGTGGGACTTGCAGCTTGCTGTTAGCCAGTGTAGAGGGAACCCAGGATAGCAGTCCTAGGCTCCCCCTGTACTGGCAGTAAGGCATGATAGGGTCTGATGCTGGATCCCATGTGTGGCATGGCAGGAGGCACAGTTGGGTGGATTGCATGTTAGATCCCATTGCAACTTTACCTGCATGTGTCAAATGAGAGAGTGCTAATTAGTCCCTTTTGCAGTACCACATGAACATGGGTAGCCTGCTCCCAGTTTCAGGGGCTGCCTTTCTAGAGCAGCACAGGGACCTAGAAAGCCCACTCTGGAACACAGTAAGGTTTCAGGTTAGACATGACTTATATTTCCGAATGTGGGTACTGTTCCCCTCCAGTAACTCTTGTTAAATAAACATTTTCTCCTCTTTTCCTGCATGCTGTCAGTGGCATTATAGGTGAGCGACTGCCCATCCGGTACTACTTGACAGCTGGAATGCTTGCCAGTGGACTCTTCACTGCAATGTTTGGCTTTGGCTATTTCTATAATGTACATAACCTATGGTTCTACTTGCTGGCTCAGGTAGGCATCCTGCTGTTTTTGTTTCCTTAAATTCTTCGATTTTTCCAGAGTGCTTTTTATAGCAGCTTGTCTGTTTTTAAGTATGAATACTACTTCATGGTTAAATGGCTAGATAAAGCCAACTGAATTGCATTTGCTTAGAATGAAATAACAGATCGCTTGCCATAGCTTTTCTAGAAATACACTGTGCCCTAAAATTATTATTTTTAAATGAAGTTGAACAGAATTTTTTTTGAAGAAACTGTTTGAGAGTCCAGATAGATTTACAAACAGTTAATCAGTTACATTTAAGACACTCTTTTACTGAACTGCCACAATCTGAATATAGGATACTGGGTTTTTTTGTTGGAAATAAGTGTTTAAGAGGCTCAAACAGAGAAGTGTTTTACACTAGTGTATTAGAGCTCTTCGTAGGCATTGCAACAAAGCCACAGGAGGTGGGACTTTCCAAAGCATCTGTGCTTCTATCTGAAGCCAGTGGGAATTCTTGTTGGCTTCAGCAGAATTTGAGTCAGGCTCTTAATGTGACTTGAGCTTCTAAGTCATTTAAACATTTAAAAACATGCACTCAGAAGAACTAACTTAGTTCTCATAAATAAGAAACAATAGTTTGAGTGAATACCTGTTACTGCATGTTAAAATGTATATTGTTGAGGTGATGCATATTGTGCTGCACCTGCTGCATTCACAACAGAATTTTAGACTGGAATTGTCAAAGGAGCCTGAGGAAGTGAGGCATGAGGTCCTTGGGAATCGGGCATATAACTCATTTCTTTGCACTCCATTGAAAATCCCAGTTTAAACACTTTGAACTTCTTTCAGCCTCAGACTTCTGACTGAATTTTGTCTGTTAAATATATGCCTTCAAAATATAAGTGCGTTTGTGCGTGGATATATGTGTGTGTGTTTGTGTATTTTTCCACCACCGCCCCCCCCTCACCCCACTCTATCTATATAGATCTAGCTATTTGGATATTTATAGATATCTATCTAGATAGATCGATATCTATATAAATATACCAAGTGGCAGATAGATGGGGGGTGTGATTTTATATATATATAATATAAATTAAATGAGGTAAGAGTGAGAGAGAGATCTTGTGTCTTATTCCATTTAAAAATTGACATCCTAGATTGTAAAACCTGATGGAAGACTGTTTGTATCACTTCTTTGTACACAGACATTGCCACACTTTCAAATTGAGGCAAAAATTGTAAAAAAAAAAAAATATTAAAAAAAAAGTTTAGACATGGAGGTCTCAGTTCTCCTAGCTCTTTTTTTTTAAGCTCTGTCAGGTTCAGTATCATCATTGGCAAGCTCATAAACAGGACCTTAATTTGCTGCAAGTTTCATCATTAATAGTTTTACTATTAATTAATAACTAGCATAAAAGAAAGAGGTGTAGGTACAAATATTATCATCTTTAGGTGAAGAAGGGTATACAACAATATTAATATCAAAATTGAAAGTGTCATATGGGCTTATTCTTGTCCTACACAGGATTTCCTAAAAGATGTACTTGACATAAATTGCATAGGGATTTCTTATTCATACATTTCCCTGTAATATGCTTGCAGATTGCTAATGGATTGGTGCAGACTACTGGCTGGCCTAGTGTAGTTACCTGTATTGGCAACTGGTTTGGAAAAGGAAGGTAAATATATATGTACATGTTTTTCAAGGTACTTGAGATATTTGTAGGTCATTGCAAATATATTTATATCAATGCAAATACCTCCATTTAGTTTCGGGGGGGGGGGGCGTTATTTGAATTAGGCAAACCTTTCAGATGATTCCTAAAAATAATTTGATGGCAATTAGTTTATCTGAATAGTTCAAGAAATAATAGCTTGTATTATAGTGATTTTATATTCTAATTTTCTATTTACATTTTATTTTCTCAAAGTATTTCAGAGTGGAATTTTCAGGAAGTCTTGAAAAATTTCTCTTTAAAATCAAGATATAGGCTGTTATTGTGCTGTTAGTTTTAAATGCAATTTTTCGTATCTTTAACTTGCATAAAAATGTCAGGGTGTGACTCTAAAAATAAATATTGGCATAAGGCATGCTTGTTTACAACACTTTTAATTAAAATGCTTTGAATTTTCATAAAAAGAGCTGTAGCAAATGGTATAATGACATGTTTTGTCATTTCTTATAGCTCTTCTTTATTTTTTTTAAATGGCCACCTCTTCCAATCCTCCTGAGAGTATCATTTTACTAGCACTTTGTAAAGTTATGTGGTAGTCTTCATAGCACTGCAGTAGCTACAAAGACATCCATCAGCGCAAATAGCAGTAGCATAGAAATAATAATCAGTAACGCTGCTCTAGCTTGAGATGTCTCTTACAGCTATCATTGTATGAACACTGTAATCAGTAAGACCAAGAGAGAGGATGTACAAAAATAAAGGGTGATTTCTATATCATGGGACGTAGAAGAAAATATATAGTGAAGAAAACATAGGGGCTCAAACCAATTTGCAGGAGCTTCAGAGGTCTGTTTGATCCATGTTGTGAAATTGGAAGTGTGTTACCAAACCTAGCAAGATGAAGTGCAGCTGGGTAAAAAGAATTTACCATTTCCAGTTTTGCACCATATAGTATACGGTCTGTTGCTCTTAGGAGGGAGGATGGTGGACCTATGAATACAACAGTAAGCTGAGACTTGCATTATCTGCATTCCAGCCCTGACTTCGCTCTGAAAATTAGTACTTGCTTCACTACCAAAAAAGTTGCATTCTTACCTTGAATTAGCTAACTCCAAGGCAAAATCATTTTGTCATAGTCACACAAGTTAGCAGGTTGAGTTAAAGAGTGGGGTGACCTCCTTGAGTGTGTCTACATTGCCCCACTGACAAGCCTGGGTGCCACCCTTAATGTCTCCCCCACCACCCCCCACTTCCTCCTGCTCCACACACACCAGCTCCCCAAAATGAGGCAGTGGAGTTGTTTTTAGAGCAGCCCTAAGCATGTGCCCAGCAATGCTCATCAGTTCTGTGTCTCTGGACTGTCCATTGGCACACATTCAGCACTTTTCTGAGGCAGCTGCGTTTGCCTTGTTGCCAAAATTTGGTCCACATGGAGCAGGAGTGAATGAGCAGAACAGGCTTCATGACAATGCTTCCAGGTGCACATGGAGGCAATGTAGACCTGCACAGATTACATTCCTCCCATAGGCCTTAGGTTATCTTCTAGCTCATGTGAACGTAACAGTCTGCCTTGTCTTCCCCTAGGATTATACCTCACGTTAGGAACACAACTGGTTTTTCCCCCTATAGAGAAAACACAGCCATAGGGACTGACCGCAGACCCCTTGAACCTATATAGAAAATAATTTCATTCACTTCAATAGACTTTGAAGCAAGCCTTTAGAGCCCAGACACGTAGGTGCTCAGTACAAGACCTATGTTGCATAGAAGGAAGTTCTTCATTAATGTTGAGGTGTGGTGAGTCTGTCACACCTCAACATGACACACCGTAGCCTGAAGCATAGGGATCTTCTTTGGAACAATAAAGCTTCAAACAAGTGTTCATCATTGGAGACAGCAGTGGTGACTAATTGTTCTTTGTTATGCTTTTCTCCAGGTAACAATGTTCCCAAGTAGAATAACTGAAATTGTCATCTTTTTTGAACACAGGAGAGGTTTCATCATGGGAATCTGGAATTCTCACACTTCAGTGGGAAACATCTTGGGATCACTAATTGCTGCTTATTGGGTATCTTCCTGCTGGGGTCTGTCTTTTGTGGTTCCTGGTGTTATAATCGCTTTGATGGGGATTGTTTGTTTTCTCTTTCTCATCGAACGTGAGTATATCTTCTTTTTATTTAAATGTATACAAAATGGATATGAATATCCACTGGATAAGTTAAAGTAGGCAATGCCACATGTTTCCCAAAGGGTTTTTACATAAATAAATATCCACCCAGCTATTCTGACCTTCAAACTGCTTCCTTCCCAGAAGTCTTGATAGAGAAAAAGATGCCTGCATCCAAGAATTAATATATTCAGGCTTCAACAAGCTAAGAGGGGAGAGGGAGTCTAAATCACAGTCTAATCTCTACCTGTGCCTCTCTCATTTGTATATTCTTGAGGCATAATACACAGCAACAGACTGAAACTATCCTGCTTGCCCCAAACCCATATATTATTTTAATTCTCTAGCATTATTAAATTCAGTCCCAAAAAGAAGCAGCAAATTCAAAATCAGTTCAAGAATAGCAGATTCTGGCTATTCCTAATCTGATAGCCAGGAGCACCCTCATTTAATTTAATATACCTGGTGTTTGGCTGAGAATGATTGAATGATTGTGCTTTTTTGTAGGCTAAGTACTAAAGAAAACAAAGCAATCCTAATTTAGGTGAAAAGGAATGTGGCTTTTTGAAACATAAAATGTGTCGAAAACAGAAAGCTTTTTGCTGCTTTAACCATCCTGGTACAATGGTCCTAGGTAATTCATACCACATGGTTCACTTAGTTTGCTCCAGGACCTCCCAGGGTTGCAGCAGTGGCAATCCTACAGTGCAGAGCCTGGCTGGCAGCGGAGCTTGACTCCAGCCAGCCAGGCTTTGGCTTTGGGTGGTGCACGCTGCTGCCATGTGTGCAACTCTGCTTTTTTGTCCTTGGGGCTTTTTTTTCCCCCCTGGATATCCCTTGCAGCTCAGAGAACAGCTGAACATGCAGTATGTGGCGCTGCAGGTGTGCCTGCGGCACCATGTACTACACTCCTCTGTACACAGCCTATCAGCGTAGTTTATTCTGGCATGGGAAGCAAAAGTAATTATATAAAGCATTCCTATATCCGTATAGCTATGTCTGTACTAGAGCTTATGCTGTTATAGCTGGATTGTCAGCAAGGGGTGTGATTTGTGATGGTGAAACTTTTTTAGACTCTGCCTTAATGTCAGCAATGTTTCAGGAATGAGATCCATTCTGCTTGGTTTTTCACCTAACTGTGTGTGCTGTTTTATTTCAGATCCTAAAGACATCAAATGTTCTTGCACACCGCCCAGTGTAAGTCAACACTTTTTTTTTTGTTTTTATTGCTCTTTTCCACTGTCAAATTCATATTTATGTTAGTGACTAGGGACCAACCAAGGACAGGCATGACACCAGGCATTGTAGTAAATGTTCTCTGCTCCAAAAGAACTTAGCGCAGATCTGGGTTCGGCAACTTTTCAGAGCAGCAGGTCGCTGCTTGTGACCTGGACACTGCTGCAGGCCACCAGTCCCTTCTGCCCCGCCACTAGGGTCTCCATCATAGAGGGTTCGGTTGTCCTCTGTCGTCTGTTGATACAAAACCAGACACCTTTTTGTCCTCTATTTTTCTCTTGAAGAGAGAGTTGGGTTTTATCTCAATAGAGGACAGAGTAGCAGAAAACCAGAATGTCCTCTGTGATGGCCACCCTACCCACCACTGCCACAGGCCACGGCTCCTCTCCTCTGCTACATACCACCAATAATACCCAGTGGCAGTGAGAAGGGGTAAATTCTGCAGCAGTTGTGAGTGGCACATGCCATAGGGGGCTGGGAGTAGTGGACAGTGAGGGACTGGGAGACAGGAAAGGGACTTGGCAGTGGGGAAGAAAGGGGTGGCGGGGACTTGTCAGGCCAAGCTACATACCCCCAGTCCCCAGGATGCTGCAGGACAGATCCAAGCATTTCACAGACCAAAACCATGCCTATAGGCTGTAAGTTGGTCTAGATAGATAAGAAAACTACAGGGTGAGGGAAGAGGTGAAGTGAGTGGAGTGTGGACCCTGTGATGGCAGCAGGCAGCTCTGTTTGTACGGGAGAGGGGGGAAGGGGTTAATTAAGAAGAGATAACATGAAGGAAAGGGAATCTGGTAGATGTGAGTTGAAGCAAATATGAGGAGGAGAATTGGAGCAGATAGCCCATCAATTAGGAATTGCTCTTATCTTTCTTTTCTTTTTTTAATGTTGGTAAAATTGACAAATTACTTCCTATATCATAAGAGGGTAGCTGTAATGAGGAAAAAAGCCCTCTGGTATAAACCTGAACAAATGAGGAAGGACTGTAGTGTTATATTGACTTTTCTCTTAATCTCCAATAAATCTTTGGAATTTAAATGCCATATGGCTGCTGGCACCAACCCCATGCATTTTGCTGCTGGCAGAGTAGTTAAGATTTTGAAGGGCAGCCTGGATACCACCTCACTTCCAAAGGACTGCTTTATTGGAAGGAGTACCAGTTGCTATGAAGAAACTGTACCTTGTATTTAGTTTTATTTGTTACATATGGCTCAGGCTTCTGTCTTCATGCTGGTAAATACAATCTCTTTTGAAACAGGCAGTATGAAAATCCAGTGTCAGAGACTGATCGCTCTTTATGGAGAGAGGTTTTTTTGCTTGTTTTTTGCAAGGGAGGGAGGAAAAGAGGGAAAAGTCCTGTCATTCTGCTTTTAATGTTGATTTAATTATTATAAAAGTAACATGCCCTTTACTTGTGGTAGCACAATTCCATAAGTGTAAAATTAACACTGAAAATCCCTGAACTGGAATACCGTCACCCAGTCTGGAAGAATTAGGGGCAAAACTGCACCAATACGTCTGTTACATCGGGTTATGTTTTGTCCATTGATGTCAATCCCAGCATAGTGGTTTGCTAAAGGCAAACAAGTTATATCTATTCCTCTGCTGCCTTGTGACGAGGCATAATGATAGCTATCTACTGCCAGAACTACCTCAGGATAGCTGTACATCTAGCCATTCCTGAACCTGGTGTAATTTCCAATGGTATGGAAAACTGATATATTTAACACCAGTACATGTATTCATCTGTCCGTCACCTTAGATTCTGAACACTCACGCAAAGAATCATGTTTAAGTGGTTGCGACCATTCAAGGAAGCACTTGCCAATTACCTTTTCATGCAGACCTTAGATTTTACCTGCTTTAAATGTGTGCGCTAAACTATTGTTTGTTTAGCTGCTATTAAAGTAGGTTGGGAAATAGTTTAGGCCCCACTGCTGCAATAACTTACCCATGTGATTGACATAGAAGTTAATGAGACTGCTCTGGAATGCAAAGGAATAAATGTAGAAGGCTGTGTGAAACATTAGATAAAAGCTAAAGTATACCATAATCTGTGCTGGTGTTAGCAAACACCTCTTTAGACGCACCTTCCTTTTTTAAGTGTGGATATAACCTAAATGGAAAGGGATGGGTTAGAAGAAATATTGAGCAAAGAGAGAGAACGACGTATAAAATAGAGCCTTAGCCATATTAATATGGTGGCATCCTGCTACCAAAAAAGCACATATGTGGTATGCTTGATTTATGAATATTATGCATGAGTATATGCGAGTGCATGTGTACATCTGGAAAACATCTGTAGGCAGTTTCCATGGCAGTTTTGACTTTGGTGAATGTTTGCTGGTAGCGTAATCAAAAGCCATACCAGAACGTTGCTTCAGCCAGCAGGTAGACTCAAAGATTCGTGGGGTTCTGCAACATTTCTGAAGCAAGTGATTAGCGTTATGGGTTTTGTTTTGTTTTTAATTCTCTGGGAAGAAAGCAGACCAGGTGGTTCATCACAATGGATTCTTCAGGAATGTAGCTGCCTCCCCCCACCCTGTCCACAACTGACCCATACAGGCTTGACTATAATAAGGATTGATCATGGCCTCATCTATATCCCTTGCTGCCAACTCTAAAGTCAAATTGTGTGTTACAGTATATTCCCCCTTCCCAGCTGTTTTAAAGTTGTTGCCTCTCTAATTTTGAGTGCCTTCCTGGTCTTGCACAGAAAATTAGGGTAACTAATTGCTTCTGTAGCATGTTTCATTTCTTACATTGACACCTCTTCTTTCTCTTCTCCTTTCCAAATGAACTAGCCTTAATCTTTTCAGCCTCTCCACCTGTGAAAGGCCCATTATAAAGCTTCTTATCACTTTTAATTACCAGTCTTTGGAACGTAATTTTAAGTTTTGCTTTATCAGGAATAGATTAGGTGTCTACAAGCATCTTCCACTGGAATTCCTTCTCCATTTTTGCATACATCTGTAATCTCATCCTTGATTGAGGTTACATGAATCTCATAAATTTCTACCTGGAGGACACTTTTTCATATTTGTATGTTTTGCTGTAGATTGAGAAATAATTTGAGTATTCTAGCTGTTGGGTACAGTGGCTTTAAAGGAAAATGTATGCAGAATTAGTCATATGCTTAATTGCATTACATTTCATATCAGTGCACTATTACTAGAAAATATAACAAAGAGCTCTGCATAGTTAATCACTATTATATCTTGCCAAAAGTTGACCTGAACAAGTTACCTTCAGCTGTAACTCTCCTGATGTTTAACATAAATCTGTCATTTTTTTTTTTTTAAGTTTAGTTTCTGGCAGTTACCCTTCCCCACAAAAATGTCCTTTGACTTAATCTTCTCAGCGATATCAACAAGATCTCTACCCCACATCCAACCTCATTGTCTGGTGACGCACTTGACCTACTGTTTCCCTGGAAACCTTGCTCTCCAGAGCACAAAGTGTCCTTCTCTTTCTCCCACCCCCAGAGATTCTCATTTGCAAATCGCATAGATGACTTGAAAACACATTTTTCTCTTGGACTTCCCCCAGGAATAGGCAAATCTCAATTTTGGGGGCTAAATCCTCGTAAGTGGCATTTGTGTCATTAGGATTGGATAAAAACCTTGCATTTAAAATATGTCTGTTAGGTATTAAGCATCCTCGACTCCTGTTCATTTTGGCTTATTTGCATTCTCTGTTCACTACAGATTTTATTTTGGAAGTTAAACCAATGAATAATATTAATTTAAAAAAATAGTGTAAACGGAGTTAGAAATACAAATATTACAGGAACCAATGAAATAAATGAGAGTAGAAAGAACAATAAAGCAGACTGCCAGAGAGCAGATTTAATGGTATTTGTAATAAGAAAAGAAATGTACAGCAGCCTGTGCACATTTAGTAGCTTTTTAAATATTAGTATTGCTTCTAATCTCTCTTTCACTTCCCTTGTAACATAAGCTGTAGTCATAACTGATCAATATTCATGAACATGCTGCAACTATCTTTTTATAGTCTAAGCATCTTTTTATATGGCTTTGCTGTTCTCTAGGAAAATTGGTCCTCTTAAACTCCTGTGCTAAAATGCTTCTACATCTAGAAGATATGAGGCTGAATCTTCTTTCTTCTCTTCAGAAGATAAAGTCTGATCATTAAACATGCTGCATCAGTCTAGCCGTCATCTCCATACATTTCCTCTTTACCAGAGTAAATCTTGTTTATGACAATTGAATGAAAAAGTCATTGGGGGTGGGGGGAAGCAGGGTGCATGTGTGTGTGTATGCTGAGCCACTGGAAAAAGATACAGCCAGCTTTTCCCCAAATAATAGATTTTGTCTGCCTGAGGAGACTAAAATTTAATTTATTTTCCAACAATGAGTATTTCCAAGAATCTGTATTTTGTGGAACCCTTTTTTCATGCAGGAAAACTACTTGTATTCTAGACACTCAGGTCTGCACTCTCTCATTTTGGATTATGTGTAAATGCAGCTTGAGTTGCCTCTTATAAATTTTCTGCTCTGCCGAACTGATGCAGTAAATAAATAATGCTTGTTCTAAAGAATAATCAAAACATAACTATATAGTTTCTTTTAAGCAAAAGCTGCCTGATACCTTACCTTCCATTAAGATTTCAGATATGGACAGACCAGTCGTTTCTGACTGTACACATTTAACGTGGCGTTGAGTATATTGAATCTTCTTAAAAACAAATATCTCACCTCTTAGAAGTGCACGGTGACTCCCCGTGATCCTTATGTAATGTTATGCCCAAATGGACATGGATCAAGGTTCTCATTAGCAGCCTGTGAATATATATTCAAGTTTTGCACTTAGTCCAACCAATAAACTTAGTTGGTTGGATTAAATGCAGTGGCAAATCCTTCTAGACAAAGGGTTGTATAGTGGTGTTTTTCTAGAAATACAGTTTCAGTGGGCTCATCTAAATGAGATGCTGACCGCACGGTAGCCTGATACTACTGTGCAGTAGCGTCTCATGGCAAAAACAGTGCTGAGGTGTTACGTATTAGGTTGCTATGCAGTAGTGTCTCTGAAAAGATGTTCACTGGCACTATGCAGTAACTCCAGCTACTGCACATTTATTTAGTACTTGCTTATACAAGTACAAAATAAATGTGCAGTAACCACTGAATTTGAACTGCAATTGTACATGCAAAGGAAAAGCTGTTTGTTCAGAAATCAAATACTTTGTCCTGTGTAAGTTGGGGCCCAGAAATCTCCCATGAAAGGAAGCAGGGTCAGATCCCTGATGAGGCTACTCCTAAAACTGCTACCACCCTCATGCTCCTTTCCAGGGCACTGGAAGGTAAAGTGGGTATAAGACACTGTCAGAAACCTTTATCTTCAATGCTTCAGTGGATGGGGAAATGTTGTGTGTGAGGAAAGGGGAAGAAGGTTTTTCCAAACTGATCAGTTTGTATCTATGCCTGCCAGTCAGGAAGCCTAATTATGACCAAGAATTGTTACAAAATGTAGATTAGTGTTCAGCAATTGTGTGTGTGGTGGGGGGGATATTTAAGCCATTAGGAGAAATGAGTTCACAGGCTGCACACCCTGCACTTCTCTATATATATTGCACATGTTACAATGAAACTATAAAAAGATGGCTTCTCAGTCACATTTTCTGCTGATTCCGTTTCACACAGCTCCATATGAATTCAAAGTAACTAAGATGCACAGTGATCAAATAGGAAGACTTTCATTTGGGCATGCATCTTTGTAATGAAAAATAAACATCTCTTGTATGATAATGTAAGGTCTAATGCTTGAAGTTAGCATTAATAACTTTTTCTAAAGTAGTAGTTTAAAAAATCATGGGTTTTTGTCATCTTTTTTTTCCCCCAGAGCTCAAGGACTTACATGAATGGTACAAATAGATTCAGAGTCCAGAAACCAAACTTAAGTACTAAGGAAACTAGCCAATCTCAGGTAACGTTAAATGAAACTTTATTAAGTTACCACTGCAACATTTTTTTCAAAGATCAAATAGAGTCTTCACAATAAAAAGGGATTTAGCACTTCAATATTCCAGCCAGCTAAACAGCTCATAGAAGAAGATAAATATATAAACACTGCAAATTTCTCTAAAGCAAGTTGCATTGCTCCAAAGGTTCTCTCTGAGCAAACTGCCCAATAATCAAGGGATGAGCAGAAACTGAAAAGCCTGCATTGAAAATTCCCCCTTTTTAGGAGAATTTTAGGTGAAAAATTTGTATCTGTGACCCATTTTACAATAATAATTTCATTAGGGAAATAAAACTGCTGAACAGAGTAATGTGCTACACAGCACAGGGCACACAGAAACAGAACACAACTCTACCTTTCTCTTTAGATCTTTTTGTTTATCAAATACACTGATCCTGAGAGAAGTTAATTGATTTTTCTTTTTAAATCAGCAAGTAAAAGAGAAGCTGTTTCCCCCACTCATATTAATCAATTTTCTTCATGGTTCAAAGTCACTAAAGCCAATAGGAGTCTATCCATTGATTTCTAAGAGCATGGCTCAGACCCTTACTGAGCAGCAGACGGGATTTATGTTGGCCTAGTGAATTGTGCTACACCTGAACCTGTCCAGAGGTAATGCTGGATATTAGGTGAAGGGATTTGGGTAGGACCATAGCATGTAAACTGAATGTCTACTAGTTGGGAATGAGCATAGTTTACCAAATTAGGACACAGCATTTGCCAACTGACCAGCAGAAAGTGAGCCCTGAAATCCACAGTGTTTACACAGTGATACTTGCTTTGGACTGTGTTAACCACTTTTTTGTATGTTCAAAAAACTGTTAAACTTGAGTTGGCTTCAAGCAGCTTTGTAAGCAGAAGGGTGATGATGCAGTCTGTTTGAAATAGAGGGCGTTCAGTCTCCCTTTCTTGCAAAAAAAAGTCCAAGCTCATGTACTTCCATTGTGTTCACCCTGCTATTTATGTGGCAAGTGAATTCATTTGAAGGAATATCCAAGAGAAGAAACTGAATTTTAATCAGTTGGAGTTTATGCATAGGAATCCTGTTTTTAAGTTTAAAAAAATCATTTACAAATGTTGGTTTGAATCTAACGCTTTTGTTGCGTCACTCCTTGCGGTGGACATTTTGAAATCTTTTATGACTAAACTGAGCATGTAGTCATTAAAACTTTCCGCACCAAATTTTGACCAGCTGTCCTCCATTATCTTTGTGTTCAGTCAAACTAACCAAACCACTCACCTAGATTTATTCAGTGTCCACAACAAACTACTTGAGTACAATCTATGGCCCAGAAATGATTTGCCAGCGCTAATCAGTGAATACTTTTTAAACAATGGATGAAAACGTGTGTGTCGGTGGCTGGGGGGTTTTTGGTGGGTTTTTTTCTTTGTTTGTTTGTTGTTGGGAGGGGGGCTGTTGGACAATTCGTGAGCACAAAAACGCTAAATAAAACTTCCAACTTAGTGGCTGTAAATTGCTGTTCCACCACTAGTTGCAACTTTCACTAATAACCCTCACTGTACAGTCTCTGCAGAGAGACTAAATCAACTGAACTAGCAGAGACTCTATCTGCCTACCCTGAGAGGGACTTCTTTGTGAACATGAGAGGGGCACTGACAAGGTAGCATGGGAGCCCTCGCCACCATACCTTATCAGATAGCATACCCCTTCTCTGGGCTGTACTTGTCTGGAATACAAGGAAATAGCAAGTCTTAAAGGTATCTACTGCTCTTGCTTTTATGACCCCACACTTTCCCCTCTGACCAAGAAGTGGTAATCTTGCTCCTGTTAAAGGAGAATTGAGTGTGATTGCTTATTTTTACAGTGGGCATCTTTCAGCTATGTTGAGCTGATTATCACTGTTTAACTTTTGTGCCTGCACAAACAGCAGATGTTCAGCAGTTTTGAACTGGCCGATTTCTAGCATGGCAGGCTGACAGCTCTTTCTGATTCTTAGCTGACCATTCTACATACTATAAAAAGAAAGTAAGTACTGAGTGCAAGTGATGATTGAAAGCAAGCTGTATTCTAGGTGTATGACCTGAATACCTCCCTGTGTTGCCTGTCATGTCAGGTTGGCTTCCTAAATTATATGGAATTGAGCAATAATGAATCCTTCCCCGTAGCTCAGAAGTGTACCATATGTCTAGTTACTCCTTCTGACAAGAGGACAAAGCTAAACAGCATTATCCCTGTCAAGGCCAAATTGCTTTTTTCTTCATCCAGCCACGTCCAGCACTGAATCCCATATTATTGATGAATATCTCCGACATGAATTTCTAAAATAAGCTACTTATGTGTGTGCTGGTAATTCCACTTCGAAATTCTAATCTCTGTGTTTTTATGTATTTAAAATTATTGTTTGAGAAATGAGCAGCATTTACTCAGCCCATTCCAGCTGGGCTTATTGTGTTTACAAATCCTGGGGGGGTTTCCTTCATCTTCAGTCAAGCAAAACTCACACTGAAATCAATGGGAAGTTTGCCCACACAAAGCTGGGAGAGACGTGACCTGTTTTTGGTTTTGATTTGTGGTTGGGATTGCTGGTTTGAATTGCAAATGTCAAAATAATTATGAAGCATCAAAGAAGTTATGGTTACTCAAAATTAAAGCTGAATCAACTGTTGACTGTTGAGAAGACTTAAAATCATTTGATAAAATATCCAAATGTGTTCATCTGTAATTTCTGCTTCCATGCCGCTTTGTTTTAATGTTAATCAGAATCTTTCCCTTCTGATTCCCAAGTTCCTGGTAGAACTGTAAGTTTCAACGGGAACCAATCCTATATTTTATTTTTACCATTTGGCAAAGGTAGTACTGATATCCACTGACAGTTTTAAAATCAACACTTCTGTCTTCAGAAATAGATGCGAGTCCTGAAACTCGAATTCGGGTTTCAGCTTCCCCAGAGTCCCATAATGTTAGCACCAGAGATTTTAGTGAAATGTGGTCTCTAGGTGAAATCAGTGACTTCACACCCCCAAAGCTAGACTGGAATTTCCTACTCATATTAAGTAGTCTTTTACTTTTTAAGTAGTCCTGCCAAAGTCAGTGGATTGTAGAGCCACGTACTGCTCAGTGTAAGGAAAGCAATTAGAATCCAGTTCTTCAACAAAGGTTTTAAGTTCTGCTCATTCAAAGGTGAAACTGCATGAAGGATTAGGACTGAAAATGAGGTGAGAAACAAAATTAACTTGTGAGACTCTTAAAACTAGGTACACTTTATACAGGCCTCTTTATACTGTTGAATTTGAAGATACAAGGAACAAAAATTCTGGAAAACAAGTTTAACATGTACATGGAATCCAGATAACGTACAATATAATGCACAACTGCAAGAAGTTGTCAGTTGCAGTAGTTCAACCACCCAGCATTCAAATTTGGCTTGCACCTTTGAATTATAAGTGAAGTAGATTGGAATTTACAGTTCTATGCAAGGTAAATGCTGATGTGTAACTGTTTCGCTTGAAATAAACTCACAATGCAGGTAGTGACTTGATTTCATAAGTAAAAGCAGCCTTAAACAATAATGGTTACTGACAATATTGCATAACCTTTCAAGTAGAAGGGATTTCAAAATCCACGTATTGTTTCCTGTACAAGTAAAAATGAAGACACTCTAATACCTTGGTGGTTTAAAACATGCATGTTAATTTTTGTCTTTTGGGTGTGCTGATGATGGGGGAAATTGCAGGCTCCAGAGATGCAGCAGTTACTTTCTGACAATGAAAACTGTGCAGCGTCATTAAACATTAACATGCCAGTCAGTGAAGAAAATAGAAATGGAACATCACCTATAAGCTTCCTTGGTGCCTTGCGAATACCTGTAAGTACAGGAATTGTTCTTATTCCACAGAGACTTGGCTTTTGGCTTACAGAATTCATTTTTTTGAAATGGAGAATGGATGAGACTGGTTGTCCTATCTAGAAACTGGTATACTATTGAGGTGCCTTAAGATTTGTTTGAATGTTGAGAATCCTAGTGCTTTGGTGTGACAAAGTGGGAGTTGTTATCAGAGGTGGACTGAATACAGAAAGGGAATACCTTCAGCTTCAAGGTGAACACTGCAAAAATACATTGATTATAGCTTATAATTTTCGTACAGCCAAAAAAAACCAACATGCAAATTCAGCTTGCTCCTGGGTGATTTGAACTTGTAAAACATGCACTTGCACAGTACAGAATTGGCACAGAAGTTTGTTGACATTATTAAGTGTGTGAAGCTGTACCAACATGTGACGGAAGATAAGTGACAGGTCAGGTAATGAACTGTGAGTTGTCGGGGACAGGTGTGGGATAGAAGCAGCAACTCGGGGAAAAATGAAGCGCTTGGAGCCTGTTTTCTAACAGGCACATAATGCCCCTTTTCTCCTTGAAATCTAGGGTAAGAGACTAATTCTAAGTAGAGCTGATGAAGAATTTTCTGCTAAAATGTGTTTGCAACTGAAAACGTAGCTTCCACAGGGATTAAACTTGTCCTTATGAAAATGACCAACTTCTGTCATAAAACTCTTTTTTTTTCCTTTTTGATGAAAAACTCTAAACAAAATGGTTTTAATGGCGACTGGTTCCACCTGAAGGTGTGTATGGCAGTTTATCAGGCAAAATCAGAATATTTTCAGTTGTTTCTGCATCTGCCTGCTGTCAGGCCTCAGTGCATTCCTTGTGCTTTCATGCTCTTCTATGTGCCAGGCCTCCAAAGGTGAATTATGTCTGATATGATCCACTGCAGTCTCCTATGACTGACCTGTCACAGTACATCAGTGGAGTCCTAGGACCATGGTGTATTGTGGGACATGTAGTTTGGATGAGGAACCTGGCCCAGTAAGGGTATGAGGCATTCAAACTACAAGTTCAACAATTTCACTTCGAATTTTATAGTAGCTAAAATATGAATGAAACACCTTCCAAGTTGCCTATTAACAGTTTCCATAAAAGCAGTGGGTTGTATTCAGTCCTGGTCCAGGCAAACCACCACTCTCCAAAACGCGTTTGATTGTGCTTTTCTACAGCACAATATAATTTGGACTATTGTCAAAAGTGGCATTGTCTCTTCAGAAGATGGCTTCACCCAAAGTCTCATACATTATGATAATTGTCATTTTCAAAAACTCTTAATGTTAGAGTGTTCTTTTATGGTTTACATTGAGAAGTGTCATGCAGCTCAATTTTTTTACACAGCAATCTGAAAAGAAAGAAGTGAAGTTTATTTCAATTCAAGAGCAATCTCTCTGAGCCCACACAAATTTAAATGAAGTCCTAGTGGAGATATTTTGGGGTCAGTGTGAATGTGGGGGACAGTTTTTGATCTTTAGATAATAGGTTAAAATGCCTAAAATCTGCTGCTACTGACTTCTTGAATCTTGATACCTCTCATGCACTTCATTTGGCACTAACTTGTGAAAAAGAATAGTATGTTAGATGGAGCAAAGTAGGTATTGGTATGTGTGTTAGTCCAACAGCACATAATGATCCCTGTGGGAGTAGCACTGTGGCAGACTAATGAAATCATAGAAAATGAGGGCTGGAAGGGACCTCAGGAGGACATCTAGTCTAACACACTGCTCAAGGCAGGACCATCCCCAACAATATCATCCCAGTCAGGGCTTTGTCTTGCTGGATCTTAAAAATCTCCAAGGATGGATCAGAAATTTCATACAAGAGTCAGAGAAAGGCAAACAGTGTAGGGAGAAGAAACTGGAATAGGTTATTTAGTGGTAAAATGCACATCATCTGTACAGTAATAGCTAAGTCTTACACATAATTATCAGTAGATGGAATGGGGTAAAATAATCCTCCAATTTGTAAGGGGTTGTGAACTCGCTGATTTTTATCTAGAGACCACACTTCACCAAAATCTCTGGTGTTAACATGGGACTTTGGGGAAGGTGAAACCTAAATTTGTCTCGGTTTGGCTTTGCTGACCCCATGTGAGACCATGTAGCATACTGGCTGTTTAGGTCAATGGGGGGACACCCTTAAGCTACTGCAATACAAATACCTATCTTGGTATATCCAAGAAGATGTATGAATAAAATTAGGGGCTTTCTAAAGTGGTTATGAACACTGTCTTTTGCTATTAACATTCTCTCTGTGGTTAATTTTGGAGAGTTACTGAGAAAGAGACACAAGTGGAATACTGCAGTCTGCTTTGAGCATACGTTTCATGCTCCTAGAGCAAGAATCCCCTAAGGAATTGCTGAGAGAGAGGTTTAAGATGCCACCTAGAGATTTTGTACTCTGTTGTTTAGCATATAAACCAAGAAAAGCAACAATGACTGTTTAGGTACTAACCTTGCTTCTTTTTCTTCTTGTAGGGAGTCATAGAATTTTCCTTGTGTTTGTTATTTGCTAAATTGGTCAGTTACACTTTCCTTTTCTGGCTTCCCCTCTATATCACAAATGTAGGTAAGTATCAATGTAAAGGAAACAAATGTTTGATTAAAAATTGTTCTTCAGTTTGGTGAACTTGATTAAATAAGAATAAACATATTGCCAGGGTTGCTAATGCAGTAGGACAATTTAAAGACTGCAGTTAAGTGTATACCTCAGCTGGCACATTAATTGTACACCTCAGTGGCCACGTTGTTACTGCAGTCACTTAGTATTACAGTATTTTTTAATGAAATATTTTGACACTTGGAGACAAAGCTACATCACTTAGATTTGTAACTTCCAGGGATAAACTATATTCATATTTTTGCAGTGGTTATTTCCTATCACTTGGTACATGTCACTGGGCATGTCTGTACAAGATGCTAAGATGCCATAGTGATGAGCTGAAGTGACATAGCTCGTCACTACAGTGACATAGCATCAGCAGGCACAAATCTTGATGCTACCGTTACTGTGCAGTAGCAACAAGGTAGTGTGTAGTAGGGTTGGATTGGAAAAGACCTGTGCAGTGCCGGGACTGTGCAGTACTGGTAGTTACTGTGCAGTCATTTAGTACTTGCTTTTAGTTTACAAGTAGCTAAAGCAAGTACTAAATGACTGCACGGTAACCACTCGTATAGTAGCAGCAGCATCACAGTTCATGCCTGCCGACACTACATTGCCGTAGCAATGAACTATGTCACGATAGCTCATCACTATGGTAGCATAGCATCTTGTGCAGATGCACCCAGTGACAAGTACCAAGTGATATGAAATAACCACTACAAAAATATGAATATAGTTTATCCCTGAAAGTTTCAAGTCTTAGTGATGTGGCTTTGGCTCTAAGTCAGAATATTCCATTAAAAAACACTGTAGTAATAATACATATAAAATAATGCTTTTATATCCTGAAGCAGCCCAAAGACTGGGAGATGCTGCTATATTGTTTATTTGCTTGCTGAGCAATATTAAGAGTGCTTCTTGCCCAAGAAGTTTATTTTCCAGTGCCTATCTTATGGCTTTTAAAATCTGCTGCCACATAAAGAGGCTGTGACTATCATTCATACCAGCGTTTCTCAGCCTGTGGATCATGACCCAAAAGTGGGTGGCAAGAATATTTTAAAGGATTGCAAGCTGCAGCAGGGTAGAGGGGTGGTGGGAAGACGCCTGCTCCTTCCAGTGCAGGGAAAGGAGTAGCGGAGAGCTGAGTGGCTGGGCTGGCAGCACTGGGGCCAGTGCCCATGCTCGCAGGGCCAGGGCAGTTGGGAGATGCTGCTCAGGAGGCAGGAGGGGCTATGACCTGGCTGGCCTAGCCCAAGGCAGGTTGGGGTGGCACAGGCCTCGCCACCTCCTGCTTCCAGCCCATGCCAGGGCCGGACTTGCTTCACTGCTGCCTACGTGAGCCCAGATGCCACCGCATCTGCCAGGCTCTGGCCCAAGCAGGAAGAGGGGACAGGACTGTGGGTCGGGAGTGAGGGACACCATGGCCCCAGGAAGCAAGGGACTGCGGGTCAGGCACCAGCAGGGTCTGTGGGTCGGGACAGGCCATGGATCTTTGCAAATGGGTCCCAGAAGGAAAAAGGTTGAGAACCACTGATTTATACCACCAGCAGCTGCCAACAGAGAATCAGGTGGAATGTCTCCAGGAGGCATAGCCTGTCCTCCATGTTACAAGTACTTCTGTGCTAATGGACTTTGTGAAAGCAGTCAGTTCAGATTACATTAGATACAGTATTACAGTTTATAACAAAAAAATGATTTAGTAGTCTTTTATAAGTGAGTGGTGATGTGAAAGAAAAAGCCATGTAATGTGCACACTTACAGGGAGAGATATAGCTAGACTCATTACTGCAAATGTTTGGCTTTTGGAGTGTTATGTGTTGATAGTGGAATTTATCTGTCCTTTTGAATACAGTGAGAACAGCAGTTTTGATCAGCTGTATTCTGCTTTTCTTCTTAGAGCACCTTGATGCCAAAAGAGCTGGGGATCTTTCTACACTGTTTGATGTGGGGGGAATCTTTGGTAAGTTAACTTTTGATTTTAAATCTGACTCATCTAAGACAATGTGTAGCACACAACTACTAGATTTTACTTTTTCACTATGAAATCAGGCTTTGGTCTTGGTCCACTGAAAAATAATGGCAAAATATGAATCTAAGTAGAACTGGACCCTCAGAGCAAAATCCATTTGCCACCTCCCCAGCCTCAGTACGTGGGCTGGAAGAATGAATCCACAGCCTCTTGTGTGAGTCCTGTACAAGGAAGATTGTAAGGTCCAAGTGTCCTGGGGTGTCTGCACCATGTCTCTGGCAATCTCGGGGAGAGCTACTTTTGAGCATCATTACTTGCCCTTTCATTCCCACTCGCATGCAAAAAACCTGGAAATGGAGTGGTGTGTGTGCACATGCACATGCATACATACTCTCACAGGCTAATGTTTTAAAATAGTGTTTCTGATTAATGTAACAATATAATATTTTGTGTATGTAATATATCTATAAATGTAGTGCTTCACCACTGTATTTTTGGATTTGGCACATACACATGGGCACCCAGGACATACTATAGACCTGCTCTTAGACTGCTCTGGTGCCACCCCATAGTCCTGTCCTGTCCTTTTTGTCACCTCATCCCTTCCTCTGCAGACAGCTGTCCTATGCTTGCACTTGCTTATTAGAATGATGCCAGTTCTGCTGCTGGAGGCCTTCCACAGTTGGAAAGGTGCAGAGACTAGATTTTTCCTTTAACCTCTAAGAAGCATTGTTGTCAGCTTCAGGCCTTTGTGTTTAAAATCTAGAGTTTGAGGAGATAATGATAAATTAAAGATTCCGTTACTATAATACTCTGCTGCTGTATTTTCTCACATACAATGTGTCCCAGAATAAAGTATGCAGGCAGAATAAAGAAAAAAGTTCTTTCTTGCAGTAAATTACAGAGTAGCAGCAGTGATGGAGCCTGTTCATTGTTCTGTGCCCTGTGAGGTACATGCAGATTCTTGTGCTTTTGCCTTGTAAGGCACAAAATGCTCTTACTGTATTTCTTGTGTATTCTGTGCACTCAGTTTCCAGCAGCTGTTTTTTTCCAGGGGAGAAAAAATGTTGTATGTGAAAAAATATGGTATGTTTGTATTTCTTGCTAAGGACCTTCTCAGTCAGCATAAAGGTGGTACAAGTCAGTGGAATGAGGGCTTCCATTCAGTTCCACTTTGGAGATGCTCAAGTAGTCTGACCTCTGGGTTTCCTCTGCACGTCTAACTTGTCACCTAAGGGGCCTCTGCCAGTTCAGCAGAAGACAGCAACAGGGGTGAGCTGAGGAGGTGTGGCTGGATCCAGAGTTATGCAGGCCAGTGGCTCCATCATGCTGTTCATGTGATGGGAAGGTTTAGCAGCCATGGCTCCAGCCTGGCCTGGAATTTCATCTGCACTATTCCTCACCTTTTGGGCTCTCTGTAGGTGAAGTTTTACTCTCCCCCACCCCCCAACACACACACAACTGAAAACCCATATGCATGGCACTGAAGAAAGGAAAGTGATTTTTGTCCAGTAGTCTAAGCATGGATCTTGCTAAGGTGCAAATCAAAGCCTCAGAAGTAATTGTAGAGCTGGACAAGGTACATTATGGATGAGCAGGGCAAATACAGCCAGGAAATATGCTTGGGCTTAGGTTTCCTTTGGAAGGAAAGGGGTAGGGTGTTGAGGGCAGTAGAGCTGGATGATCTGGGAACATAGAAGAATGACAGTAAAAGGGGATCAGTGATGGAGTAATTATTACAGTAATGATGGGGCCAAATGAAATAGGAGAGAGCTCTTCAAAAGCTTTTGTATCTGGAGGACATGCTGGCTAGGACATTGAGCCCTGGGTCTCTTCTTCCCTTGACACAGGCTGCCATTTCCTGAGTTTTATTTTGTTTTGGATCAGAAACTAATGAACCCATCTTTCTGCATTGCAGTAACACCTAGGTGCTCTAGTCATGGATGAGGGTGCCACAGTGTTAGGCACTGTACACACATGGCATAAAGAGGGTCCATTTCCAAGAGAACACCTAATATGCATAAACAAAGAGTCAATAGATGGTTTCGGACAAATGGCGGAGGGGCTGGGTGGGGGGAAGAGGTGAGCAAGGCAATAAGAGAAGACTGAATTCCTGCTCTGCTCCCTTCTAGATAGTCAAGCCTGTATCCAGTATTAAACTGAAAGCTGACACTAGGCAACTTCTGATGTAACTTAGCAAGTAGTTTGTAGCTTAACATATGTAGTGGATTATGCTCTGGATCCTACATTTGAAATTGGATGGGATATGGAGGATTCTGGTGTGAGACCTGATATATTCCTCCTCCAAAAGAGGTGGAGGCCTTCATTATTTGTGCATTACAAGAGGCTGATTGGATACAGATGGGTTCCTGATGCCACAGTGAAATCTAATTCTCATCCCTGACTATCAATATAATGACATCTAAGTGCTTCCTCCCTTTATATCCTTGTGGGTGTTTAGAAGGTCTCAGAATAAAAAACAAAACAAAAAAAGAGCAATGAAGCTAATATACTTGATTAATTTTGGCATACATAATATTAAGACTGCTACTAATATGAACTGTGTTTTCATTCCTCTACTCCATTGGTATATAAGTCTACTTTTAAATGATTTGCCCTGATTTTAGGCAAGTACTTCATAAGCTTTGTTCAAGTTTGGTGAATAAAATTCTTGCTCTGTAACGTCTCTCTCTCAGGTGGAATTTTGGCAGGCATCATTTCAGATAGATTAGAAAAAAGGGCTTCGACCTGTGGCATGATGTTATTCCTAGCCGCACCCACAGTAAGAGATGATGTCCTCTTTATTATACTCTTGTCGTCTTTTGTGCAGCTGTGGTTTTAGTTCTATCAGCATTTCCACTAAAAGCTCCTGTTCTCAAGAGCTTCTAAAAAAGTCACTCCAGCAAGAGCAAATACAGAGGGTTGGGAAGGCTTTAACTTTAAAAAATGGTACAATGTCTATTTCAGGACTCCATGAAAAATTATCACTTTCAGCTATCTTTTTACCGAACTCCTATTATTCAGTTTTGCAGCTCATAATCAGACAGTGCCTGGCAGTTTACCTTCTTTTCTTTTATTTTATTTAAAACAACCACCAAATCATTAAAATCCCTGAGCTAATGTTTGAAAGCTGTCTGCTGCAGACAGGCAGTGCGTGCTTTTTAGCATAGACTGAACTGTATGAATATCAACAGTATTGTGTCTTATGCTGAAGTGAGCAACCTGGCTGGTTAAAACAGTTGATCACATCAGCTATCTCTTGTCTTTGAGAGTTTTATATGATAGGGGATGCATGGGAAAATGAAGCAGCCAGAATAACAAACCTAATAACTTGGTATAACAGACAACTGGCTTTCTCAGTGTGATTTTGAAGTGTCTTATGAAAACCTGCAGTTCTGTGAAGACTACGGAGTCTCAACTGCCTATTGTTCAGCATCATTGAAGTTACTCCTGATTTGTGTTAGGAAAAGTAAAAGATCAGTCAAGCCTGAATCTGCTGTTCTAACTGCTGCTGTTTGCTCTTTCATACCCACTAGTTGTACATGTTCTCTGCAGTCAGTAAAATGGGCCTCGAGGCCACCATAGGTGAGTATTTAAATTATTTTTTGCCTGTTCTTAATTCAATTTATCTTTTTTACTTCAATTCCATTCAGATTGGTATTTCTGAGGTAGATGATAATGACCTGGCTTTTGAGAGGTGCTGAATGCTTGCATTTAAGTCAGTTGGATATGTGTTTCCTAGTGTTAATAGACATAAGCCACCCAGAGAAAGGTTAGGTGAAAGCATTTCAGTACTTCCATGGGAGGCCACAGGGAAAAAAAACTGCAGTAACCTTGGCTCTGGTGAACAGGTTCTGATATACCCCTCTTATGTAATTGGAGGCTGCCACCAAGTCCCCCCTGAGCCTTCTCTTCTCCAGACTGAAGAGTCCCAAATCCCTCAGCCTCTCCTCATATGGCCTGCCCTGCAGGCCTTGAATTATACAAGTGGCTGTCTCAAGCTTTTTCACATCCCTCTTGAAGTGGGGGATTCCAAAACTAGATGCAGTACTTCACCTCTGGCCTCACCATGGCTGAGTACAGTAAGAGGATGACCTCCCTGGTTTTGCTTGAGATGCACGCCAGAGTTTGGTTTGTTTTGCCAGCCACAGGATCGCATTGGTGACTCATATTCATCTTGTGGTCAATCAGGACCCCCAAGTCTCTTTCAGTCATGGTGCTAGCAGGTGTAGCACTGCTGAGCCTATAAGTGTGCTGAGGGTTCTTCCTACCGAGGTGAAGCACCTTACTCTTCTCAACATTGAAGGCCATCTGGTTTTGGTCATCCCACCTTGAGAGCGTGTCCAAGTCAGCCTTTATCCCCAGCCTGTCTTGTGGTGTGACTGCCCTCCTCCATAATTTGGTGTCATCCGTGAACTTTGCCAGTTTGCATCTGACTCCTGACTCCAGATCGTTAATGAAGGTGTTAAAGACTACCAGCCCAAGTACCGAGCCTTGAGGGACTCCGCTCCTCACCCTGTGCCACACTGATTTGGTCCCATCAACTAGTACTCTTTGGGTCCAACCCCATAGCCAGTTACCTAACCATTGGACCATAAGATGATCAAGGCCACAGTTCCCTAGCTTAGCCATAAGGACATTGTGGGGAACTAGGTCAAAGGCTTTCTTGAAATCCAGATATATAACATCCACGTCATCTCCCTTGTCCAGGACTCATGTCACCTGGTCATAGAAGGAGATGACATTGGTCAGGCAAGACCTGTCAGTCACAACAAAGCCGTGTTGGCTGGCCTTCAGAAGCTTGTCTTCTGTTAGTCTGGTGTTGATGGATCCCCTGACAATTTTCTCTAGGATTTTTTCAAGGAAGGATGTCAAACTGATTGGTCTATAATTCCCTGAGTCATCCCTCCTCCCTTTCTTGAAGATAGGGACCACGGTGGCCCTTTTCCAGTCTTCTAGGACTTCGTCCGAGTGCCATGAATTTTCAAATATCTTTGCGGGGGGTGGGGGGGCATGCAATGATGTCTGCCAGCTCCTTGACTCTCAGGTGCATTCTGCCAGGGCCCGTGAATTGTGACTGTCTAGATTCTCAAGGTGTTCCTTCACCTGATCCACATCAATTGTGGGCCCGGCCCCCGCTCCCAGGCTGGTTTGTGTCCTTTCTGACAGTGCGATCCCCTTGGAAGGGTGAAAACCTGATGTGAAAAAGTCATTTAGGAGATTGGCCTTTTCTTGAGTGTCAGATGTCAACTGCCTAGTTTGATCCAGGGGCCCAATCCTATCTTTATTCTTTTTTTGCCTTCCACATATCTGAAGAAGGACTTTTTGTTGTCCTTGGTGTAGTGGGGAAATGAGTGAAAGGGGGCATGACGGACACCCTTTAGTGAACACCTAATACTTGGCAAAGGTCTGCTATGTTCCTTTTGTCAAATGTCAGAGATGGTTAAATAGACCCTTGTACGTCATACCATATGCCACTCGTGTCTTTTAAAAGGGACTCAATTTAGAACATAGCTTAAATATGCATAAAATCATAGAATCTGGCAAAGTAGGTTGTTGCCTGTGAAAGCTCATGCCTCTCTGAATAAGTTAGTCTCTAAGGTACCACCCTGCCTTGCCTTCTGCTTGACTATACAGAATTTGTTGGAGGTCTCCTATGAATTACAAAAAAAAGGTGTTGAAGTGTCAGTGCTGGCAGAGTTGTACTTTTGTGGCCAAGGTACCCAAAGCCTTTGCAAAGTGTTAGGGCTCCATTTTGTTAAGCACTACACCAGCAGATCCAGGGATGCTCCTTGCTTACCTTCTGTAACAAATGAGGGTTTGGGGATGGGCAAGAATCTTTTTTTTATAGCTGTGCTTGGAGAAGTCCCCTCTTTGTGCTTAAATCTATCCATTAGTAGATGAACAACTTTACCCTTGCTTTCTTAGAAGCCTTCTTAAAGGTTCTGAATCAGAATTGTACATGCTATTAGTCATAATCTCATAATTACTATATATTCCTTCAGTAAATGTAATTTACACTGAGTGCTCTGAGTTTAAATCCTTACACATTGCCATAGTTAGCATTGATTTCCAGAACACTCAGATTTATTCAGTATTCTTTCCCTGACTCCCTACAGTCATGCTACTCATCAGCGGAGCCCTAGTGAATGGCCCCTATGCACTGATTACAACCGCAGTCTCGGCTGACTTGGTGAGTTTGCTCTTTGTTTCATGGTTAGCCGGCAGCTCCATTCATGTGCCTGCATGATGTGGGGAAAACTGGTTTCTATGAAACAGTGGTTCCCAACCTTGTTAGACTTAAGACACAGCTTGGAAAATGCCAGGTCTTAGCTTTTGCTTATTTTTTACTACAAAAAAAAATAATAATAGAGCAGTTCTATTGCAAAGAGCTCAGGAACACCGCAACAGGTCAGAATGTTTTTAACTCCGTGTTTCTATTTGAAATCCTTGGGTTCATCTCGTGAATGGTATGTAAGCATTTGTACACCTAACCACACTAATGGTGTATGGGACCCTTAAACAGATCTCATGGCACTCGTGCTGCATCACACTGGTTGAGAATCACTGCTAGGAAGACTAATAAATAAGCAGTGAGGGATTGATCCTCCACAGTGTCAGCATGTGCTTAAGTAGAAGGCAAGGAGCAATGTACAGGACAGGGAGCATCAGTAAACTCCATCCTATATTAATGCTCATGAGTGGCCCTGGCCTGCAGATTATCCTGGCTTAGTAGCAGAAACCAAAAAGTGGATCTGGGAGGTCACCACCCAGCATGAATGAGAAAAGCACATGCCCCACCCGTAGCTTACCTATTTTAATTGCACCCTTGAGAATAAGGGAAAGAGGGTGTAAAATGAGCTTGTGGTGTTCATCCCAGGGCTTGGAGCACCATGCCTGGCTCCAACGCTTATATCTGCCTCCATCCACCCTTGTACTTTATCCAAGTCAGCCTATGCCCCACCATTCCTACTGCATATACCACACAAGGTCTCACAGGCTGAGACGTAATAAATCCTCCATGAAAACCTCACCCTGGTATCTTGTCTTCAATGTTGCTTTTTTATGATATGTACAAATTATGGTTTTGAAATATTCTGAATGTATATAGCCCTGTAGATACAGGACAGGCAGCAGAACTTAAAATCTACCCCTGGCCTCTTTGGTGATCTATTCTAAACAAACCATCTTTAAGCTTGAGAAGGAAGTTTACCCTTCATATCCATTCAGTTGTCAGTCATTTCAAAGAGGCTATTAACTAGGATGCAGGATCTGGTGATGTGGATACCTGTGTTCCGGCAGCTGGACTGAATTGATTTTTCTCACATATTGCCAAACAGCCCTCTGTTACGAATGAGACTTCAGGCCACTGGTAACCTAAACAGAATTCTACATAGTCCCCTGGAAACGAAAAGGTCCCTGTCCTATTACCAGCCATCTGAACCATCCAGGTTCCATTTGTGCCTTGTTATAAAATTATTCCTGTCATTGTTAGCCTCACTTTGCAATGCTGATTTAGTAATAGAGTATATAAAGTGGCCTTTACAACCACTTCCTCTTAATGCCTTTGGCTCTGTAATCCTCTAAATGGGCTTTTTAAATTATTCCAGTGCTGTAGCTTTGTTAGTGTTGCATGTCCAGCTTGTGACTTCTTTCTGTTCCACAGTGCCTTCTTGACCAGGGGAACAATGGTTGCAATAACCTTGTAGCTTCTGAGCAAATCACCAGTGGGAAATGCTTTCTGTTCTGCACGTACCATGTGTAAGCAGCACAGACAGTTATATATAATAAGGAATGTGCTTAAGATAAATGAGAAGAGTATAAACAGTAGAGATGGGTCATAGGGGTGGTGTAACCAATGATAAAAAGGTCTTGCCCTAATTATTTAAGGCTGCTTCCTGAAGTAAATGCTAATGTTTACTTTGTCATTGTAAGAACATAAAGCAGGTGTAAATGGTTACATACTGATTATTTGTCACTGCAGGGCACCCACAAAAGTCTGAAAGGGAATGCAAGGGCCCTGTCCACAGTGACAGCTATCATCGATGGAACTGGTTCTGTAGGTAAGTCGGTGTTCTGAAGCTATTGGTCTTGACTATAGGAGGTTACAGTGACTGCAGAGGTTAACCAAAAGACCTAGGAGCTGTATAAGAGGGTGGATCAGCTCTGAAAAGGGACTACACCAGCAGAATTATGGAACCCAGCACTTGTCCCAGTGACATGGGGATCAGAAATGTTCAGGTTATACAAGTAGAAAGGCTTTTTCTAAAGCAACCAGGCTACAAGATTCACGTGGACTGTGTGTCAAGCTGCATCCTTTCCACCTTGCCCACTCCAGCTTTGCAAGTGGGGAGCTGTGCAAAGGCAGCCTTAAGCATTCTTTATGATGCCTTAAATATGGGGCAGACCTGGCCACAGACTGGTACCTGGCCCAGTGTATGCCAGCTGTCAAGGAACTGTCTTAGCCTTGAAAGATCATTGATGTCTTGGTTATAGCAATAGTTGGGTGGGGATGGTGTTGGAGTCAACATGGTGAACCTGCACCACCTGGGAATTCCTCCTGCTATGGGGAATCCTTCCATATAGGGCATCTTTACACTTGCTCTGAGGGTTGGGGGGGCAGTGTTTTGATTAACACGGCTCTAAGAGTGTCTTGTGTATTCAGTGTCCCACCACTTCAAAATGCCAGCAGGGGCACTTTAACTAAAGTTCATTTGATAAGCTTTAGTTAAAATACCCCTGCCATCATTTTGAAAGGTGGGGATGCTGAATACACAAGATGTGGAGGCTGTTGGAGGCACGCTAATTAGCACACTCCAGACAGACTCGATTAATTAAGTCTGCTCTGACGCGTTGTAATTATAGTGCGTCAGAGCAGCATCCCTACATGTCTGCAGACACCTGTATACCTTAGCCAGCTATTCAAGTCTTAGGGCAGCAAAAAACTGTCCCGTCATAGGAACAGTATGAAGCCATACTGTATAATAACTTATCTACCCTTCACGCATCCTCCTACAAATAGATGTCAATATGGGATTTGCTTTCTAGAGAAGCCAGGACAGAAAATGAATAAAATACCTAAATGTAGAATATCTAGTAGTAACTTTTTTATATCACATCAGTTTTAACAAGCTAGTATACCCATCCTGTATTGCAGGTGCTGCTCTAGGACCTTTGTTAGCTGGTCTCATTTCTCCTTCTGGCTGGAACAATGTATTTTACATGCTTATGGTGGCAGATGCATGTGCCTTACTGGTGAGTCACTGTCTATGTTAGATTACTTTGTATCAAGCTATTTGTATGAAAATGCTCATTTCCTCAATTTAATGCCATTTGCTGAATCCATTTCAGAGGACTGTTTTTATTCAAATGCAGAGGATTTTTTACAACTGAAGTGTAAAGATGACAATTTCGGAATCCTCTTAAATTTTAATTCAAAAGCATAGTTTGTCTTTAGTACACTTCGGTTTCTGGATGATGTGTGTATATAACAGCTCTTTAGAGGAGTTTTAGTGAACAGTATTGCAAGCAAAAATTCACATATAAATCTGGGAGGACCACTCGGTTTGATCTAGAGAAGAATTCTTTTGATTTACTTTGTTACAAGTAACACTGAAGCAGCAAAGCCAATTTGCTGAAGTAGTAGCAAATGTTTACTGCATTGCCTCAGCATCCATACTGTCAGGGTAAGGAAACTCAAGAGCTAACCACACACTGTCCAGTTGTGCCTTGCTTTCAGCACTTCTTTCCATTATTTGACTTAAGAAAAAGGTAGTGGATGGGATGATCAGAGGAGTAGGGTCTGCTCTGATTTCCCTTACTTTGCCTTCCATTCTGTAAAGCACAAAACAAGGTGTCAAGAGATCTGGGAACAAATGACTTGCTGGCGTGTAGCTCCATTTAAATCAGTGATATTACATCTGCAGAACTTGACTTGTAGGTTCTGTTTCAGGTTTTGCCACAAAGCTCCTAGGTGTTTTATCTTTATGACTCTGTTTCCTGCTCTGCCAGAGTGCTGGAGCAACAATGCTGACCTACTACACAGAGGTCCAGTGAACTTTCACTTACTAACCCTTTGTGAATCCTCAATAGAAGGGATTCCCTTAGGGGTCAGCAGTGTGAGACTCCATTCAGCCTGGCCCCTCCGGTCTGAGCTGCTCAATGACAGAACCAGATACCTTGGAAGAGTTAAATGACTTCAGTGGTATCCAAGGAAATGCAGGTTCCTCCTCTGAGGATTGTTTTATCTTAACCCACATTATAAAGTTGTCCCACGGAGACCTCTGGAGATCAAATCAATAAAATGGATATGCTAGTTAATAACTGACAGGAGCTCCTATGAATACTCTATTGTGACCTAAAACCTACTTTTATTGTACGCTGAAAGATTTGCCTTCCCTTTTAACTGTCCTGTGCCATGGACAGGTGGAGGAGATAAGTGTGACTTTCTAAGGCAGAATGAAACTGCTGCTTCCTAACTGCCATGCTTTGTCAAGTAAATGTGTGTGTTATAAAGCACTATAAAAAGTTGTTTACAGAGCCATTACTGGTGCTGCAGGAATTCCTCCTGTCTACTAGGTAATTTCCCTGTCAGCCTGATAAATCCTGTTGCTCATACTTACTGGTTTGTTTTTTCTCCCTCTTGCCAGTAAAGCTCTTCAGCCTTTGTAGTTAAGATGCAACTCTTTTTCCAAATGTCCCCTGAGTAGATTAGACCCTCAAAATCCATTAAAGCCCTGCAGCACTTGGGCAGCTGATGTCCGCCCACACCTTTGTAAATCAGATGTCACTTTTTTAAACTTGCTTATAACCAGATCACCTGAGTAACAGCCAGAGATCATGAAAGTTTGCATTTGGCTCTTAGCGTGGGTGTGCATGCCCATGTTGTGTATACAAATCACTGTTCAGAAGGCAGAAACTATAAAGGACCTGGTTCTGAAAACACCAAAGTACCTGGAAATTTTACTGGTGCAAATTGTCATACAAGTCAAGCTATTCTCATACCAAACAGTTTTGCTCAATCATGCCCAGAAATGTGAATCTTGGAGCACTGTTGATACACTACCATTTTAATTTAAGTCTTGGACTCCCTCTGCTGGTTTTTTGTGAACCGTACCAGCACTTTAAAATGATTCATGCTACAAATGGGGAACTTCACTGAGGATTTCCAAGGGATTTCTTATCCCAGGCTTAGAAGAACAACAGCAGGTTGTTTGACATGTTAATTAAAAAGTCTTTGCCATCTTTGGGTTTGGTTTTTGTTGTTTTCTTTCCTTACCTTGTGGTTTGGTTTGCTGAAGTTCTTTTTTTCACTTTGCCACAGACAAAGTCGGGAAGAGGCAGAGGAGGGAATGGGGGAGAAAAATAGTGTGTGGCCGGGAAACAACAGCTAGCTTTTTCATTTTCCAATTTTGTCAAAAAGGAGGATTTTTGTAAATCTGTTCTGTTTTGAAATGTATCGGTTCTAAGCCTGACCCGTACCAGCAGGCTTGTATGCATCACCTTGCCATTAATGGTGCAAAATCATTTTCCAGTGATATACTAATTATCCATAAGTACAATGGGGTTTTTAGTTGTGCAAACTGCAATAGCATATTAAATGTAAATGTAAGAATGACAGTGTGCATTTTACACTGAAACATAACTCCGTGGTGCACCTAGGCAGAGTTTTAATGCGGGTTTATTTTTATGCAGTTCTTAGTCCGTCTTATACGGAAGGAGCTCGGATGTAGAATGGATCATACCTTGTAAGTATTACTGGTGTTTAATGATCATTAAATATTTTACTATGTTTGTTTTTAGCTTGCTTCCCTCTTATTCCAGAAATAATGGATTGCTTATGTTCATGTATCCCAACCTACCTTTTGCCCCCAAATAGCAACACCACTGCCTTTTTTTAATCATGATGATTTTTTCTCTATCGATTTTTTTTTTTTTTTTTTTTTTTTTTTTTTTTTTTTTTTTTTAATAAAACTAGCAGGGAACATTAGACTCCTAAATGGCACGTGACAGCTTTCTTCAAAAGACAGATCCATCTCAGTTTTTTACCCTTGAGCTGGTAGACTAAGTTCTTTGAAAGTTTTTAATAGTAGCAAATTATACTTTTTCATTCCACAAGACCTCTGGATAAAAAGGGTTATTCTGAGTCTAAACTAATGTACATTTGGAGAAATTCCACTAAATCAGTGGAACTGAATTCCTTTTACACTTGTGTAAGTAAAATAAGGTACAGTCCTCCCTCCATAATTATAAGAAGACGAGGCATGGAATAGAAAAGGTATATAACAAAGAATGCATACAGGATGTGGAAGTTATTAAGCTCTTCTGTTTTGCTTGCTGTGCTTTCACAGGTTTAAAGAACACTAAGCAATGATATCTTGGACTTGGAATAAGGTCTGTGCGAGTGATCAGAACTCCTCCCTCAAAGACTTTTCAGAATAACTTATTCAATATTTAAGAGATTGTTTTCATGAAGGATTTTGTACTCTTGCCAGAAGACGATTTAGAAATTAACTAGTGAATTTCTGATGAAGTTTTTTCTTCTTTTTTGCACATGCATCAATACCTCAGCATGTTGACTGTTTTATGAACTGGAAAGAGACAGAAGCTTTGGGAAGCTGCTACAAGTATGCCTTAACTGAGCCAGAAAGAAATACCAAGTGCCTTTGGATTCATTTGGATAGGATATTTCAATTAAACATTTAAACTGCATTTTTGATCAAAAAACAAAGAGATCTGAGAACAGAGCGTGAAGAAAATAAGCTCTTCAGCTACTCCAGCAGTGGACTCTGCCAGTATTGTTAACAAAACATTAGTGATCAAAGTTTCCTTCATGTCATCTCTTAAGAGACAAGATCCTAATACTATATGTGGATTTTCCAGCTGGCTACAATTCACTGCTATTCAATATTCTGAAACTGTTCAACAGAATAATACCAGAGCCAGACCATATTGCTATGGTTTAACTTCATCACTAACTTAATCCTGTACAGTAGGATCCCAAAGGCAACATTCAGCTATTTTATGTGTAACATAATGAAACGTACACCTAAGTACTAAGTTGGGTGCCTCTACTGACCTCTGGCTAGATATTATTGCTCGATTGGGATTGTCTGAGCTTATTAGAGCTCAGCATTTCCTACAAGGGTCTCTAATGCTATTATAAACTGGGTGGACAAACTACATGTTTGCTGTTTTATTGCTTGTCTAGGCCACTCTGGGGTAGCAAAGGATAATATCTTGTCTCACTGGTAATGGAAGCTTTAGCATTAATTTTTGAGGGTTGAACAAAAATAGGCTGACTTTGACCCTGACCTCACAACAATTTCAGTGCAGGCACCTACCTCACAAATACTAGTGGGGTGCATGCAGACATAAGGATCTTCCTGAAGACAGCTTAGTACAGCATCAGGCCTTTAATCAGAGCACCAGAAACATGCTCAGAGAGAGGCTGGTGGTCCATGTTCATTGCATGCATGCACGTGTGTGTGTATGGTAAAAGTAATCTGGGATGTGGTGTCAAAGGAAATGTCATGGCACATGTTATCCTGAAAGTGCAGTTGTTTGTGTTTTCTTAACATAGTTTTTTTTTCATCTGACAGTTTCTCTCCTTCTGAGAGAGAACATGTTTCTAGGGAACATTATAAGATGCAAAAAAATACAGAGTTTCTGTAAAGGAGCATTGATACAGATTGAATGCAAAGGTTAAATAGACACATTCTATGTTTGTTAAAAGATGTATTTATTAAAACTTTTAAGCAACCATAACGTTTTGAATGTTCTGAGTTTTGCTTTAAGCTTTGCAAAACAAGACAGTACTGTATATACTTGACTTGGTGGACAAAATACCACTTCTTAAAATAACCCTACAAAAACGTACTGATACACTTTTTTTTTTGTCCACCAACTGCTGGTTCTGTGTTGTTTTAGCTCAATATTTATGCTTTGAGGGATGTTGTTCTGAATTGTTCAAACTTTGACCTTGTCATTTTTGAACACAGGACAATTGTGTGGGTTTCTGTATTTTGGCCTTGATTCAGCAAAGTACATAAGCGGGTGCTTAAATCCCACTGACTGAACTGAAACTTGGCACATATTTAAAGTTAAGCATGTGCTTAACTATTTTGCTGAATCAAAGTGTTTGCTTGCAATAACGAACCTCCAAAGGCTTCAGTCAAACAAAGTTTTCTAGCATTCGTCATCCAGAGTCTTTGTGTGATGAATGCTAGACACCACCACCAGGCCTGCAAAGATTTACAGAAATGCTTAACCTGACATACACCATACCTAGTAGTACCGCTGATTTTTGTAATGGGGGTCTCAGTGCATAAAATTAAGCATTTGCCTTAGTCTTTGTAGGATTGGGTCCCTGGTTATCACAACCTTTTATACTGTTAGACACTGCATCTCCAAAGTTGTTTGTTAAAGCTGTATTGCTAAGGCTAATGTCTTAGGTGTTTCTAGTTGTATTTATTAATAGAAATATACTGTTGTAACAATGTTTAATGAACTCCAAATTTGGGGTGTTTTTCTTCTTGGGAGCTGATTTTATTTATTTATTTTAAAAAGCCTTTGCAGTATAAAGACCTAGATTTGAACTAATGAACATGATTGCTCTGAGGAATTGGGTTTCTGGTACCTAACACTCTGTCCTTTTCGATTCAGGAGTTTAATGTTCTAGAAGGATGGCATATATTTTAAAAAATGATGTGCAGTTTTCTTGAGAGGTGGAATGTTAAGAATTTCTTACAACTTTTATTTGGGGTTGAGTTAGGGAATCCACATCTGTAAATCGGGAAGGACAGACTAAAATGATAGCTGGCGTATGTAACAGTCAAAATATTGTGCAGAATAATAAAATGGCTGAAACATGACTGATGTTTGTTTCTTAAAGTGCTAGGAAATGTAATCATTTCAATTTCAGGCTACAAAAAATGCTTTGGCCACTGGAATTCAATGCTGCTCAATCTGTAAGGGCCGCGTCTGCAATGGGAGTTCTGCCTACCTAAGAACAGCAGTATCAGGCTCTTATTTTTCAGAGGACCTTTAGTCTGGCTTTAAAATCTGTGTCCATACTTTGCAATTACAGTCACTTTGCACTGCAGAAAATTGAACTAGTGGATCTAACTTTCATAACCACCTTGTCTGCAGGGCAGCTCACTAGGCACCAATGTTCTCTTATTTTGCTGTTGCGAATATGTAGTACAAGAGTGAAATTGCTTCTCTCCTAAAACCAGCCCTAAAAATCCCTGAGTGCTAATCAAACAGTGTGTTTTGGTACCATCAGGCGTCAATGCGCCTTCACCTGATGAAGCAAATCAGCTGGCAAATGCACATTGGAATGCAAAACTGCAATGGGCAAAATAGGGTTCATAACTTAGTGTGAAATGTTTCATTTTGTTAATGCTAATTATTTGGGAATTAAAATATTTTTTACGTTGTGTTGAATAAAAGCTGAATTCTTTATTAAAGGGGGACATGTTGACTCTTTTCTGCCTCTAATCTGTTCCTGAAAAAGCTGTCCATCTCGTGCATGTGTGGGATAGGCATCCTCATGGGGAGAGGGTCTGTCTTTCTAGAGACAGTTGTGGAAATAGTTTATTTAGGAAAAACAACTCTCATCTTTCTTCCAGGCACACTGGCTTTCTCACCTGAATGAGCACATGGTTATTCCCCAGCCCTTTGAAACCTAGAACACCACTGCTCTCTATCGGCTGTATCAGTGGGAGAGGTTATGCTTTCCTCTCTGTCCTGTGTGGAAGGAGGCACTCAGGAAAGGAGCCGGGGAGGGAACCTACTGGTTGTCTTAGTGCAACTTACCAGGGAGAGATTGGGGTGTAAAGTTACATCAGAATAGTAGGAAAAAGTTATACAAAGTTTTCCATGCATCTAACCACTTCTAAGGAAAATAGAAGGGAGAAAAAAAGACACAAACTTGAACCTGGTGCCATTTTATTAAGAAACGAGTGTAGGAGGTAAATGCACCATAAAAAATTAACAAATTGTTTTGGTGTACAAAAAACGCTTAAAGTCCTCATCTAGTTTCAAAAGCTATAAACGCCTCTCATGGTACACTTGCATTTCAAATGGTGTAAGTAAATACACTCTCTATCTGTAACACTCAGAAGCTACTTCATCTTCATGGGTGCAATTAGCTGGGAATATTCTTATGAAATAATTTTTTATTAGAAAATGCTAATTCATTGACACAGTATCTCTCTGCAGACATATAGCAGCTGTGACAGGCATAAAGCTTCTGCACAGACGCAGACCAAACCATGTTAGTTATAAGAAGCAAAGATGAATGTGCCCATTTCCTACCATCCTAAAGCACAACCAGCTAAGATTTCTTCAGTCATACTAGTCCTGTTTCATGACACGGCTTTTCAAATATTTTGAGCCAGGCAAAATACTTATCAAGCAAACCCAACTGAAAAGCAGAGAAAGTTTCCTCATCAAGATCATGCTTTATTATTCTAATGTGGATGAAGGCAGAGGCTGGGAAAAAAAAATCTCATAACTGTAGATGCAACTTAAAATTGGAAGTACCCTGGAAGTGCTATATTGAAACCTTTGGCCCCTGAGATTTTTCTCACTCCATGGCTCATGTTCCTATAGAACACTAATTAAAAAATTGGTATGCACATAGATGTGTTATAAAGCTCTCAGTTTAACAGCAGAACACAAAGATGAGCATAACTGCAGAAATAAAACATCAACTTCTGTACCATGTTACAGCCCACATCCTATGTAGACAAATCACTGTAAATATATTTTAATTGCAATGTTTTTTCCATAGCCATCTAAATGAAATTAAAATAGAATGGAGTAGTAACTCTTGGACTTCTCTTATCAGATCATGAGATCTGAAAGGGATATGATAATAGCATTACATTATTCACTGCCCATGTATTCCTCTTTCAGCATGAACCTCTTAAATTGTGGTAGATATAGTGCTGCTGTCACTTACCTCTTTAGAAGCCCATCAGTTGCTTAGTTTTTAAGGGTATTTCTTTGAATAGTAAAGAAAGGCCATTTTGAAGATCCTTTTTGTCTCCGAGTGTGTGCAAGGGGTATTTGTGCAATTTAAGATACACTTCCCACTAGATTTCTTCTTGCATCTCAAGCAAGCGATTTCCAATGGGATTTCTCTTTACATTTGTAAAAGTTATTCCAGCAGTGTAACTAGCGGTGGTCAAGTGGGGAACCAGCCTGCACTCTGGCTTAAGAGCATAAAAAAGGCAGCTGCTGCTGCTCCAGCCACTGCTACTGCCCTGGTCACCACTGAGGCCTAGGGCGCAGAAATGGCTTGTTCCAACTCTGGGTTATTCCGTGTGCCACATGTGTATGTTTCATATTATCATAGAATCATAGACGTCGGGTCGGAAGGGACCTTGTAGATCTT